TTCAGAACGTGTGCGAACTGCGACTGAACTTGTAATGCGTCCAGTGATTTTTCTTGTCCAGGTGAAGGCTGTGGGTGTGGCATAAAGCTGATGGACCCGCGCTCGTACGGAGCAAAGGTAGGCTGCTGTTGTTGATTTCCTTGTGCATATGATGAGCCGTCGAGACTCATGGGTGTTGCTCCGTTGTTGTTGCTGTTGTGTGACTGCGCAGGTGCCGATTGCTGGTGTTGCTCGTAGAAGGACATGAAGGAGAAAAACTTCTCCATCATGCTCTGGTCGAAGTCTGCAGGTTGATTCGCGGGAGTCTCGGTAGATGTTGCTCTGGGTCTTGTTGCTGTGCCCTCCTCTGTCTGTAGGCCAGAGGCAGGAGGTGGAGTAGAAGTAGTGCCCTGGGAGCCGTTGGAGTTGCTCCTTTCCTTTTGTGTAGCCATGCTTGTTGATGTTGTCGGTATAGAAGTTGAATTCCCCCTGATAGCTCTCATACCATGTTGGGCTGAAAAGCCCTTAGGATCTTTGCAGGGGTGAACTCTGGGTAGAGTTGGTGTAGTAGCGGAAGCGTTAATTAAAGAGTTGTGAACCACCTTGCGCTAGTATGTGAGGGCAAAGTAAGTTGATTAAAACAAAGAGATACAAGCTTTTATAAGAGTACAAGGAATACGAAGAGATACAGTTAATAACCGTTTTACTATTGCTGTTGCGGTTCGATACAGTGACGACTCGGGCAACTGCTCAATACCGAGTCAGTTGTTTGTCCTTGCTGTCGCGCTGTACTTTGTCAGGTCAAAGGTCGCTGACCTTTGACTTTCGCGTAACCTCCAACAGTTACTTTCAACCTCCGAGGGTTGACTCGCCGGTGATTCGTTATACTTCGTTTCTTTTGTGTCTTAGTGTTTCGACACGACAGAGGCGCTTAGGACCGATTGTTTCCAACACTCTAGATGAAACTCAGACACGCTGACGTGGCGATTATTGTACTCTATGACAACCGTCGGATTAGAATCTGGTCCGACGCATGAGATACTGCGAAATGGACCAATCGTAGCCTGCGATTTAGTGTACAGTAACAAATAACGATTGGCTGGCGATTTTTAGAAAATCCTTGCGACGCATTTAAATGACCCGACATTAGCAGTTCTACTGTAATATTTTTGTTTCTCTTTACAGTATACTTAGTATTCACAACGCACACAAACTGTACACATTCTTTTATTCTGCACCTACGCCTAACTTATCCTGCATTGCTAGGTTTCTACACCTGCATCTCTGGAAGAAGTAAAACTCAGGTAAGAAAATGTCAACTGGAAAAACAGACATGGACTTGTTAACAGCAAACCAACATTGCGTTTCCAACACTCACCATTGGGGTTAGTAATAATGTAGAACGCTTCAATGTTGGAAAATATACATACTGCGATACTGGTTGACGATAAGCCTGCAATAACAGGTACACCCTGCAAAATACGCATGTGCGAAAGTCGAAACTTATACTCCTGCAAGAAAAAAAGGTAAGCGATGACGTTCACATCTCTGAAACCTGCACACACAAGGTTGCTGTTAAGCACGTCTCTGAGCTTGCTACGGTAGGGTTAGTGATAACCAGTTCGTGATAGTCAGTTGCAGCGCTCTAGCCACGGCAGTTAAGCATGGCGACAAGTGAGATGCTGCACACTGGTAGTCTCTAACAGAATGAAAGATGTAGATGCAAACGTAAGAAGGTAACATGACTTGAGACTGCAAACATGAGATATGGCGAAACCATGAAAAACGTATACATCACCGAACGTGTTGCGAAGCTTCAATATTTCGCGACGCGTTTTATCCGCGAACGTGTTGTAACTGGTCGACCTGGAAAGGGGAATGTTAGGGTAAATGGAAGGGAGAAAGTCCAGAATGAGTCAATGAAGTTAACTCTGCCGTGCACATGTTCACCACGGAAGGAGACGGAGAAATCGTCGGTAAATAAGTGGCATAATAGTGAGATTAACATGAGGACTTAGTTGTTAGGCGCAGGTACCAGGAGAGCGCTTTTGGTGGACGTTAAACAAAAATTGAACGACAGGTGCCTGAGATAGGTCGTTGGTTTTAGTTCGCGAGGTACGGGTGTGGGGGAGAATCATGGGAGAAAGCTTCCCGCGGTGAAGGTGGACGTTTTTGGATGGTTGGGTGCGTATGCTGACGTGTGGATAACGGATGGTGTCGATTGATTGACTCTTCATAGCACAACCATGATTGGTTCAAATTGATTTGTTGGCTCACACGTCAGACCTCTGAAGAAACCAGCTTGCGGTTGTGGGTTGGTTTGGGGGGTTGGGTTCGGAGTTGGGAGTAAACGAAACCGATGTATCCACTTGTGCAACCTCGCTAAATTTCGTGAGGTCCTTCTGTTTCGTAAAATTTGATGTTACCCTGGTCATTGTAAATGTTAACCTGCCAAACCGCTTTCAAACTCTCTCAAACGCTCGAAACCGAGTGACGCGAAAATGTTGACGGAAAAGCAACTTTGCGGTGACATTTCTCCGCAGGTATCCGCATTCGCCACTGGTGTACAGAATGTTGCGAATTTCGTGCGCTGTTTTTTGGACACTGTGCGCAACTTGTATGCAAGGTTTACACAGAAAAACCTTCGGAGGCCAAAAATCGCAACTTTCCTTTTTCGCGATGGAAGCCCTGGCACGAACAAATGTTCAACTCACGAAGACACGGCAACAATCGTCCAATGTCTTCCGGAAACTGGCTGGATCTCGTTATCATCAGTTGCTCCAAACCATAGCATCGTGCTTCTGTATGTGCAGGGAAGATAAGGTTGATGGAAGGACAACAGTTCATGAGTTTCAGCGACTTCAGATTCGGTAGCTGTGCGACGCTGAAAGCTGGGCGATGGTGAGAGGACACGAAGGATTTAGTGAAGATGAATAGGCTGCCAAGTCTAGGAAGTTGGACGAGGCGGGAGAGTTGTTGGTACTGTAGCACCGAGGACGAAATGTAGAGAGTGCTGAGGGCGGAAAAGTTGACAATTTCGGGAGCGTCTAATACTGATGCGTTTGAAAGTCCAAGAGTTCGTAGGTGTACAAGCTGGTAGACCGATCGCGGCAGCTTCACGTCTGGATGCAGAGAGAAGAGCGCAAGGTGTTCGAGCTGGGTGAACTGCTGAAAGAACCGATGCAAGCCGGCTTCGGTGATTGGTTGCATCTCCCCGCTTTCGTAAATAATTTGCAGAATTTCTCTTCCCACGTAGAAAGTCGTCAGCTTAGGGCATGCCGATGTGAGGTGAGCAAGGAATGAGTCGTCCAAATGCAGAACACAGGCGTAGGACAGATGAAGATGAGTCAGGTTCGGAAAACAAGCCACGGCAGCTGAAAGGGTCTCAATGGGAGCGTAGATGTGCTCTCTGACGAAAAGAGAGACCACGTGGCGACGGGCGAGACGACGCCAGCGACTGCAGACGGCGCTGATGAGGAGATTAAAAGCAGCATTGGCGGAGGCGGGAGGGTGAGGTATTAATGGAGCAGGTATTTGATCCTCGTTCTGATAACGTGAAAGGTCCCACGTTATGCTATTTGGAAGTGGATGCAAGGTCTTTCTAGCTAAGGAGTGCTCAGTGTGCCAGAAGATGTTGATCAGAATCGCATCAGGCAGATCGTCAATGTGCGTGTGACGCTCCATAACAGCAAAAATATCTGAGGTGTCTGTCCTATTTAAAAGACTTCGACGGAGAAAACGCGTGTAAGGCGTGTCACGCCAGTACGCTTGCTACGCCAACAGCTCCCAAAAATCAGAGACTTCTATTCGTGTTGTGCGGCTGCTCCTATTTACTAAAGCCATAGCCTAGCCCTAGTTATGGGTGTTGGCTTCTGCTGGGTCTACTGAGGATGCGGTGGGCGGAACGGCGGATTTCCCAGGATGACAAGGGCCCCGCGCAAGAGCTGCACGGGAGTTGAGCGGCAGGCGGGGAAATTTTCTGTGTTAGAACCAGGGATGGGGGAATCCGCGGATGTGAGAAGGAAACGGAGAGATTGAAGGTTTCCGTAACGATCCCACACGGTTCCGACTCAATATTTTCTTCGAACTGAGATCCGTTATACGTACAAGCTTCCGCACAAACTGATTATCTCAGCGTTAGACAACCATTCCTATTTCACGAAAAGTTTGCCAAACCAACATGCTTATCTGATCAGCTTCGTTCGGGTCGGATGCCACTTTTCCCTGCGGGAACTCTGCAAGAGTAAGGGTGCGTTTCTATCCCGTGTCAGACACGAAGCCAGACACGAAGTTGAGGTTGGGAAGACCCAAAGGGACTCGGAATGCTGGCAAATTTAGGTTCGGAAGACACAAACCGAGTCACTTTGTGTCTTCCGAAGCTTTGACCTGGTGTCTGACACGGGATAGAAACGCACCCTAATACGAGCAGCTTCTGGTACTAGCAGCAGCGTACTATTCAGGACGTCTTGCGTCGCGGATTTCCTTAATTTTAATCCCCTTTTTAGCAAAAGGCGCGAAAAAAGAGGGCCATAACCATCACATTTTCCACTTCGCAGCCTCCCGTTATTGATCTCACGCCTACATTTCCGCCAAGACAAGCCGATAGAACTCAGCAATGCAATACAAGGCTCGAGGCAACAGCCTGTCGACGGTCACGTCGTGGAATCCCCGATTGGCTCCGCCGTGGAAAGCCACGGACGGTCACGATGAAGCGGACTTGCCAGCGCCAATAAGACTCTGCGATGTGACTGTAGCGAGCGCAGAGGTCCCGCGCGACGCTCGTTACATGTGCGACCGTACGGAGGACAGAGTGCGTTCCGTTCCAATGCTTCCGCTTCTATATTTTCTTACTTAATTCCAAGGCGGAACGAATGCAGAACATAATCAAATTCCAGATTTTCTCATCAAATTCAACACATCCACGGCTGTCGCAGGCCAATGAGCTGGAGCGACGAATTCAACGGTTCATAGCGGCGCTTGCTCGGGCGGATCCGACGTTCGATCCCGCGAATCAAACCCTTATGGCCTCTCAGGTGAGATCGTATCAGGTGAGATCAAGTGAGATCTTGTATTGTGAGATCGTGTCAGTTACGATCGTATCTGGTGAGGTGGTATCAGGGGAGTTTGTTTCAACGTACCACCTGAACCCACCTACATTCCCCTCCCCCTCTCCTCTCCCACCCTCATCCCCATTTCCTCATTCGCAGACCAGTGTGATGGCGGTGGGCCGTGTTGTGTGCGACGCAGAGACGGCATCAGTGCGACTCAACGATTCGTCAGTGCTCCTGGAAGGATGGTAAGTGCTACTGAAACTTATGTAAGTGCCTGTAGTAGCGAGGGGATTCTGTGCTGTTGCGTAGTCTAATCTGGGATGCAGAGGCGGCATCAGCGCGCCTCAACGAATCAGATCCCGGCCGTTGAAGGCAGCAAGTCACGCACTCCCAATCCTGCCTTAACCCCCCTTGTCTGTTTCCAAAAGTTCATCCCACCATCTCTTTAACCCTTTCCTCCACTTTTCCCTCATCCCTTCTCCCTTTCCGCTTTCCCCTTTCCTCTTTCCTGTCCCCACAACCCCCTTCACAGCATTGACCCCTGTGAGGGGGTGAGAGTGCGTCTCGATCTGCGCCATCTGCCGTCCTTCTCGCTCTTCCCAGGGGCAGATCCTGGCAGGCAGCAACCCACACACTCCCACTCCTGCGCTCCCCACTCCCAACTCTCACACTCCTGCTCCGGCTTTCCCACCTACAACTACACCCCCCCCCCCCCCCCTCCCCCCCACACTAGCATCGACCCCTGTCAGGGCGTGCGGGTGCGGCTCGATCTGTGCCATCTGCCGTCCTTCTCGCTCTTCCCAGGGCAGATCCTGGCCGTTGAAGGCAGATATTAATACACTGTCACTCCTGCGCTCCCACCACCCCACCCCACCCCACAGCATCGACCCCTGCCAGGGTGTAAGGGTGCGCCTGGACTTGCGTCATCTGCCATCCTTCTCGCTCTTCCCAGGGCCGTTGAATCGAAAGAGAGCAACTCACACACTCCCACTCCTGCTCTCCCACCACCCCAACCCTTCCCTCCCCACAGCATCGACCCCTGTCAGGGGGTCAGGGTGCGTCTGGACTTGCGCCATCTGCCGTCCTTCTCGCTCTTCCCCAACTCCCCACACCATCACCTTTTCCTTTCGACTTTTCTCTGTGCCCCCTTTTCCTGTTATCCTGAAACTCCTCACCACCCCCTTCACAGCATTGACCCCTGTCAGGGTGTGAGGGTGCGTCTGGACTTGCGCCATCTGCCGTCCTTCTCGCTCTTCCCAGGGCAGATCCTGGCCGTTGAAGGCAGCAACCCCAGCGGCTATTGCCTCGTTGCCAAACGTATCGTCGCTGCACTGCCGTACCAGCCCGTGCCGAGCCTGGCAGGCTCGGGACCGCAGGCTCGGCGCCGGCCGAAGCGGGCGAAACTGGAAGGGGCTGGGAGGGGAAGGAAAGGGGGGAGGGAGGCGGAAGGAAGAGGGGAGGAGGTGGGGGGAGAAGGGGCTGGAGAGAAGGGAGAGGAGAGAGGAAAGACAGGGAGGCGAGAGGGGGAAGTGGCAGTAAAAGGGGAAGGGGGAGGGGGAGGGGGAGGGGAAGGGAAGGGGAAGGAGAAGGGGGATGGACGAAAGAAAGCGAATCTGCTTCCGTTCGGGCTAGAGGATGTGATAGCACTTGATGAGATAGAGGAGATGCGGAAGAACGATGGGGGGGATGAGGGTGAGGCGAGCTGCGATGGTGGGGGAGATAGTAAGGTTGACGGAGGGGAGGAGGTGGGGGGTGGGAAGGTGAAGGGGGAGGTGGGGGAAGAGGAGAAGAAGGAGATTAAGGTTGAGGGTGATGCTGATAAGAAACCTGCTGATGCTGAGGCTGGTTCTGGCGGTGATGCTGGTGCTATTGCTGGTGACGGTGGTGACAGAGATGGGGAGGGTGGAGTGGAGAAGGGGACAGAGGGAAAGCTGGATGGTGGTTCTGCTGGTGGTGGTGCCGCGGCTGCTGATGGGGGTTCTGCTGAGGTGAAAGAGAAAGAGGAAGCTGGGACTGAGGGGATGGATTCAGAAGGAGTCAGGGCGGTGGAGAGCGGTGCTGCGGGTGTAAAGGCTGAGGGTAATGAGGAGGAGGAGGACGACGATGAGATCAGGATTGTGAGTTCTGGCCCTGTTTCCTCCTGTGTCATTCACTCCTCTCCGCACCTCATTCACTCCCTTCCTCATCCTTGTCTCGCGTAAAGGCCGAGGGTGATGAGGAAGAGGATGAGGAGGACAGCGATGAGATCAGGATTGTGAGTTCGCTGGCCCTGCTTCCCTTGCCTAACTTCCTTGCTGCCGATAAGACTTGCAAGTTGCAGCCTCCCGGATTACTGGTCTCTCGTGCTTGTTGTGGGTGTTAAGGCCAAAAGGCGAATGGAGGAGGAAGAGGAAGACGATGAGATCAGGATCGTGAGTTCGCTGGCCCTGCTTCCTCATGTGACTCGTGCTCTTGCTTGAAGTGACTATTGAGTCGACTCAAAAGCCACCTCGTTTTCCTTGAGTCGACCAGTCAGACGATGACGAGATCAAGATTGTGAGTTCTCTGGCCCTGCTCCCTCATGTGTCCTATGCTCCTCACCAAATTCACTACTTCCGCCTTTTTTGTCTTGCTCTTCCTCCTGTTGCCATTGCTTCCCGAAAGGGAATAGTGAGCAATCAAGGACTCCTTCGACCTCCCTCTGGCGCAGCAGCCGCATTGCGTAGAACCATGTTTCCATGGTGTAGAAAACCTTTCACTTGGTTTTCCATGGTTTTCGCCTTTCCATAGTTTTCACCTTTCCATGGTTTTCACCTTTCCATGGTTTTCACCTTTCCATGGTTTTCACCTTTCCATGGTTTTCACCTTTCCATGGTTTTCACCTTTCCATGGTTTTCACCTTTCCATGGTTTTCACCTTTCCATGGTTTTCACCTTTCCATGGTTTTCACCTTTCCATGGTTTTCACCTTTCCATGGTTTTCACCTTTCCATGGCCTTTCCATGGTTTTCGCCATTCACCACATTCTACGTGTTTTGATATCATGTTTCCTGGTCCGTAGCCCGCCATAATTTCTTTCTCCCTGTTTTTTTTTCTTCTTTTCGTTTCTTTTCTTTTTGGTTTTAATTTTTTTTCTTCTTCGTGTGTGATCAGATCACTGCAGCAGGCCCTTTCACCACGATTGACTCGTGGTCCTTCGACCCGCTGAGAGGTCTCATTTGATTCTCTCCTAAAACTTTCTTTCGCCTCTCATTCCCCCTTCAATTTCTGTGTGATCAGATCGCTGCAGCAGGCCCCTTCACCACGATTGACTCGTGGTCCTTCGACCCGCTCAAAGACCTGATCAGATTTGCGCTGCAGCGACCACCGGATGTGCTGCTGCTGGTATGGTGGTGTGTCAAATGAAGGCCCGAAAGTCTGCACCTAGTAGACTAGTAGACTGCCCATACGTATCTATGCCCATATACACACCACCCTTCCCCCACCCCCATATACACCCCCCCTTTCCCCCACCCCCATACTATGATGGATTATACGCTTATAGCGTATATACGCGTGTCGTATATACGCTAGTGTTTGCACGCTATACGCTGGAGGGGTCTGATCGAGGATACGCTTTTCTGGGCAGGAAAAAAAAATCCCGGGCAGGGCAAAACAAAATCCGGTGAGCATTTTCGGAGAATATATCTCAGCGGACAAGCGAGTCCGCCCAGGGGAGCTCGCTGCCCGCGGGCAAAAAAAATAAACCCCAGAAGGGCATGCATCCGGTCAGGGAGGCATCAACCCTAAACACAGGGAGGCATGGATTTAGGGTTGATGCCTCCCTAGGATGGCATGCCATCCGATAGGGTTTTAGTTTTTTTCTGCCCGGGGCAGCATGTCGTCAAGTCGTCAGAGGGTCGTCAGGCTTGACGACCCGTTTCCGCTGAGGTATTCCGGCTACTCGGGGGAGTTTTTCATACTCGTCGACCATGCGGGAATCTTGCCCTGTAACCCTAACAGAGAAATTGCGGGAAATGGTTGGGTTCAGATCTGAGAACACATTTGTACCCAACCGCCACAATTTCCACCGTTCGCGAAATTGGCGAGCGGGTGAAATCTGTCGTGCCTTGCTGGCGAATCACCTGCGATCGAGTCAAAATGTTGGGCGAATTGTTTTCGCGAAACAGCTAGACGCAACTCACAACTACTCCTCTCAATCCAACCCCCCGACATCTCGACAGACTTACCTACTGCGCTCGATTTCTTAGTAGACTAGGCAAACGCGACACCAGGTCATAAAGCCACTTTCCCGCCAGCACAGACCGCGGACGTGCAATCTGACTTCGCAGAATTGCTCGTCGTGCAACTCCGCATCGTTTGAGCTATTCGAATTTTTTTGGGTCGGCGGGCTGCCCAGAGAAAACTTTGGGCCGCGTATAGCGTTTTCGCTAGCGTTTCGCGTTTAGCGTGTACACGCTAGTGTACAAGCGCTAAACACTTAAGGTCCAAAGCGTATAATCCATCATAGCCCCCATATACACCCTCCCTTTCCCCCACCCCCAAATACACACCACCCTTCCCCCACCCCCATATACACCCCCCCTTTCCCCCACCCCCATATACACACCACCCTTCCCCCACCCCCATATACACCCCCCCTTTCCCCCACCCCCATATACACACCACCCTTCCCCCACCCCCATATACACACCACCCTTCCCCCACCCCCATATACACACCACCCTTCCCCCACCCCCATATACACACCACCCTTCCCCCACCCCCATATACACACCACCCTTCCCCCACCCCCATATACACACCACCCTTCCCCCACCCCCATATACACACCACCCTTCCCCCACCCCCATATACACCCCCCCTTTCCCCCACCCCCATATACACCCCCCCTTTCCCCCACCCCCATATACACCCCCCCTTTCCCCCACCCCCATATACACCCCCCCTTTCCCCCACCCCCATATACACCCCCCCTTTCCCCCACCCCCATATACACCCCCCCTTTCCCTCACCCCCATATACACCCCCTTTTTCCCCCACCCCCATATACACCCCCCCATTCCCCCACCCCCATATACACCCCCCCTTTCCCCCACCCCCATATACAACCCCCCTTTCCCCCACCCCCATATACACCCCCCCTTTCCCCCACCCCCATATACACCCCCCCCCCTTCCCCCACTTCCATATACACCCCCCCCCCGTTCCCCCATCCCCATGTACACCCCCCCTTTCCCCCGCCCTCAAATACAAACCCCCCCTTCCCCCACTCCCATATACACCCCTCCCCTTCCCCCGCCCCCATATACACCCCCCCCCCTTCCCCCACTCCCATATACACCCCCCCTTCCCCCATCCCCATATACACCCCCCCTTCCCCCATCCCCATATAGACCCCCCCTTCCCCCATCCCCATATACACCCCCCCTTCCCGCACCCCCACCCTTTCTATGCTCCTTCGCTTGATCAGGTGGGCCCCTTCATCGACCGAGAGCGTCCTGATGCGAGGGACGGCTGTGAGGAGCAGACATATGAGGCAACTTTTGAGGCGCCTCAAAAGTCAAGACATAGGACGCGCTCTTTTGTATACTCACCGTGGGCTGGGTTCCCTTTCTCTAACTCTTACCCCGCCCGCACCCATCCCTCCTCCTCCCACCTCCTCCTCCGCACCCTTTTCTGGTCAGATGGGCCCCTTCATCGATCGAGAGCATCCTGATGCAAGAGATGGCTGTGTGGATCAGACGTATGAGACTCTCTTTCAGCAGCATATCCGGGCACAGGTGAGGGGGGAAGACGGAGGGGCAAAGGGGGACAGATCAGGGGGAAGAGGGGACGGATCAGACGTATGAGACTCTCTTTCAGCAGCACATCCGCACACAGGTGAGAGGGGGTGAAGGGTGGGGGAAGAGATGGGAGGGACCCAACGCGGGGGCTTGTATAAATGAGGGCATGCATGCTATGAGTCTGTGTTGACTCTTGGGGCTGTGTTGACTCTTGGGGCTGTGTTGACTCTTGGGGCTGTGTGGACTCTTGGGGCTGTGTTGACTCTTGGGGCTGTGTGGACTCATGGGGCTGTGTTGACTCTTGGGGCTGTGTTGACTCTTGGGGCTGTGTTGACTCTTGGGGCTGTGTTGACTCTTGGGGCTGTGTGGACTCTTGGGGCTGTGTTGACTCTTGGGGCTGTGTTGACTCTTGGGGCTGTGTTGACTCTTGGGGCTGTGTTGACTCTTGGGGCTGTGTGGACTCTTGGGGCTGTGTTGACTCTTGGGGCTGTGTGGACTCTTGGGGCTGTGTTGACTCTTGGGGCTGTGTTGACTCTTGGGGCTGTGTTGACTCTTGGGGCTGTGTTGACTCTTGGGGCTGTGTGGACTCTTGGGGCTGTGTTGACTCTTGGGGCTGTGTTGACTCTTGGGGCTGTGTTGACTCTTGGGGCTGTGTTGACTCTTGGGGCTGTGTTGACTCTTGGGGCTGTGTGGACTCTTGGGGCTGTGTGGACTCTAGGGGCTGTGTGGACTCTAGGGGCTGTGTGGACTCTAGGGGCTGTGTGGACTCTAGGGGCTGTGTGGACTCTAGGGGCTGTGTGGACTCTAGGGGCTGTGTGGACTCTAGGGGCTGTGTGGACTCTAGGGGCTGTGTGGACTCTAGGGGCTGTGTGGACTCTAGGGGCTGTGTGGACTCTAGGGGCTGTGTGGACTCTAGGGGCTGTGTGGACTCTAGGGGCTGTGTGGACTCTAGGGGCTGTGTGGACTCTAGGGGCTGTGTGGACTCTAGGGGCTGTGTGGACCAGACCTATGAGGCGCTCTTTCAGCAGCACATCCGCGCACAGGTGTTTGGGGAGGGATGGGGAAGGGCAGGGGGAGGGAGAAGAGAGGAAACTATCAGGGGGAAACGAGGCGGTTGTGTGTGGACCAGACATAGGAGGCTCGATTGTAGCAGCACGTCCGCGCATAGCGGTGGGGCTTCTATGGGGAGCCCCGCCCTTCACCCCCCCTCACCTGTGTGCGGATTTTAGCAGCACGTCCTGACATAGGGACGGGGCCCACAGCCACAGACATAGGGGCGGGGCTCTATGCTATGGCTGTGGGCATGCTGTGATGTGAACATCCTGATGCGCTGGTTGCTTCTTTTGAGGCGCCTCAGAAATCGAAACCGGTTACCGCCAAGTTTTTCACAAAGCTTTTTCTTCAAGCAAACAAACAACTACTATTTTTTAACTAAGCAAAGTTGTTGCCACGTAAAGAGATGGCTCCAACCTGGGGCTCCATTGGACTTATGCTATAGCTGTGGGCATGCTGTGATGTGAACATCCTGATGCGCTGGTTGCTTCTTTTTGAGGCGCTCTTGCAGCGTCACATCATGTCAGATCAGTGTATTCTCTCCGCATACGTTCCCTCCCCCACTCAACCCCCGCCCCCCTCCCTCAGGTGAAGGAGTATTGTGGGGGGGCAGGAAGTATCTGCAAGATGCTGTTGCCGCACTCAGTGAGACGCACATCACATTATTTCAATCTATACTCTCCCAAACCAATTTCCCTCCCGCCCCACCCCCTCAGGTGGAGGAGTATTGTGAGCGGGCAGGAGGCAGCTGCAAGGTGTTATTGCTGCCGTCTTTGCGAGACGCACTCCATCCCAAGTCACTCTTTTCACAATATACTGTTGCCCCCCTGTAACCGTCTCCTTTCTCCCTCCGCTCTCAGGTGGAGGAGTATTGCGAGCGGGCAGGAGGCAGCTGCAAGGTGTTATTGCTGCCGTCGTTGCGAGACGCCCACCACACCATGATCTTTCCTCAGGTATGGTCTCAGGTGCCCCTTCAGGTGCCCTCACGGCCTCTTCAGGTGCTCTCGCAGGTGCCTATTCAGGGTGTTCCTTCAGGTGCCTCTTCAGGTGCGCCACTCTCACCCGTGCTCTGTACTCTTTCAGGTGCTATTTCAGGTTCAATCTCATGTGCCCTCTCAGGTGCCTGTTGCTTCATACCCTTGCTCTCCTACTATCGTTTCATTCAACCATATGCCATGACGTGTGACTGGGCGTATGAGGCATGGGCATATGAGGCATGGACATATGAAGCATGGACATACGAGGGAAGAGCATATTAGGCACGGGCGTATCAGGCCAGTTATATGAAGCACGGGTATATGAAGCACGGGTATATGAGGCATGTGTATATTTTGAATACTCTCCTACAAATGAAGAGGCTAACAATGGGCATATGATATGAGTTATGAATCTTCAAGACATGGGGCATGGGCATATGAAGTGTCTCAATTATTCTTTAAACCGCTCTTGGACTGCTTGGATTCTGACTGAATTCCTTTCAATCCCTTTAAACCCCTCTTTCACTCTCTCCCTCTCCCTGCCTGTGAGCAGCCTCCCTTTGACTCGTCTGACTAAGAATCACAAAAGCAAGTCTGGATGCGTCGAAACCCCTCTATATCCATCTACATCTCTCTGTTTGGGACGACCCTTCCTCTCTCCCCCTCTCTGCGTGTGAGCAGCCTCCATTTGACTCGTCGGACTTTGAAGACCCCCGCAAGCAAGTCCTCACACTCGGAAACCCCTCCGCGTTCACACTGGATAACCAGGTAGGCGCTGCTATGTTGTGAGAGAGGTTCTAGAGATTAGAAATTGTGTCGTGGGGCTTCAAAAGCAAGTCCTCACACTCGGAAACCCCTCCGCATTGACACTGGATAACCAGGTAGGCGCTGCTATGTTGTGAGAGAGGTTCTAGAGATTAGAAATTGTGTCGTGGGGCTTCAAAAGCAAGTCCTCACACTCGGAAACCCCTCCGCATTGACACTGGATAACCAGGTAGGCTCTGCTTTGTTGTGAGAGAGGTTCTAGAGATTAGAAATTGTGTCGTGGGGCTTCAAAAGCAAGTCCTCACACTCGGAAACCCCTCCGCATTGACACTGGATAACCAGGTAGACGCTGCTTTGTTGTGAGAGGTTCTAGAGATTAGAAATTGTGTCGTGGGGCTTCAAAAGCAAGTCCTCACACTCGGAAACCCCTCCGCATTGACACTGGATAACCAGGTAGGCGCTGCTATGTTGTGAGAGAGGTTCTAGAGATTAGAAATTGTGTCGTGGGGCTTCAAAAGCAAGTCCTCACACTCGGAAACCCCTCCGCATTGACACTGGATAACCAGGTAGGCGCTGCTTTGTTGTGAGAGAGGTTATAGAGATTAGAAATTGTGTCGTGGGGCTTCAAAAGCAAGTCCTCACACTCGGAAACCCCTCCGCATTGACACTGGATAACCAGGTAGACGCTGCTTTGTTGTGAGAGGTTCTAGAGATTAGAAATTGTGTCGTGGGGCTTCAAAAGCAAGTCCTCACACTCGGAAACCCCTCCGCATTGACACTGGATAACCAGGTAGGCGCTGCTTTGTTGTGAGAGAGGTTCTAGAGATTAGAAATTGTGTCGTGGGGCTTCAAAAGCAAGTCCTCACACTCGGAAACCCCTCCGCATTGACACTGGATAACCAGGTAGACGCTGCTTTGTTGTGAGAGGTTCTAGAGATTAGAAATTGTGTCGTGGGGCTTCAAAAGCAAGTCCTCACACTCGGAAACCCCTCCGCATTGACACTGGATAACCAGGTAGGCGCTGCTATGTTGTGAGAGAGGTTCTAGAGATTAGAAATTGTGTCGTGGGGCTTCAAAAGCAAGTCCTCACACTCGGAAACCCCTCCGCATTGACACTGGATAACCAGGTAGGCGCTGCTTTGTTGTGAGAGAGGTTCTAGAGATGAGAAATTGTGTCGTGGGGCTTCAAAAGCAAGTCCTCACACTCGGAAACCCCTCCGCATTGACACTGGATAACCAGGTAGGCGCTGCTATGTTGTGAGAGAGGTTCTAGAGATTAGAAATTGTGTCGTGGGGCTTCAAAAGCAAGTCCTCACACTCGGAAACCCCTCCGCATTGACTCTGGATAACCAGGTAGGCGCTGCTATGTTGTGAGAGAGGTTCTAGAGATGAGAAATTGTGTCGTGGGGCTTCAAAAGCAAGTCCTCACACTCGGAAACCCCTCCGCATTGACTCTGGATAACCAGGTAGGCGCTGCTATGTTGCTTTCGAGAATTCTCAAAAGTAACACTTTGAAACTGATCTGAAATCCATCGAAAGCGCGTCCTCACACTTGGAAGACCAGGTATAGGCGGAAACCCCTCCGCATCCACACTGGATAATCGGGTAGACGCGGAGGGGTTGCTTACATGTGGTAGACGTTGCCATGTCAGTCTGAGTAACTCCTCTGCTCTTCTCATGTTTCTTCTCCCTCCACGCACTCTTGCTTGCCCTTTCCCCCTGTCCTTCTCGAATTCTCTTCTCTCTACACTCACTCTCCTCCCCTCTCTACTTACCCCTGCTCTTCTTTTCCCTCCGCCCTCCCTTCCCCCCTGCCCTTCCCCGTCAGGTTGGCATCGCCTGCTCCTCAACCGACATTCTCCGCCACCTCAGCAAGGAGGAGGTCTCCAATAGTGTGCCCTCCCTTCACTCTCCTCTCTTCAAATCATCGTCTTCCTCTGCACACTCACCTCTCAACTTCTGTTACAGGTTGGCATAGCCTGTTCATCCACCGACATCCTCCGCCACCTCAGCAAGGAGGAGATCGCCCGCGTGGCGCCAGGAGACAGCGCCACGTCAGACCGCATGTCCAGGCTGGCGGCGCACGTGATTGGCCAGAGGAGCTTCTACCCGCTCTTCCCTCCCCCACCTGCCACCTGTCTCGACCTCTCCTGCTGCCCACAAGCCTTGGACCTCCCCTTTGCCCCTCACCTCCTCGTCCTCCCTTCTGACCTCGTTCCGTTCGTGAAGGTGGGACCTCCTATTTCACAACCCACATGCTGCCCTCTTCCTTTTCCAACACCCCCCCTCGTCCCTCCCCCACCTGCCACCTGCCTCGATCTCTCCTGCTGCCCCCAAGCCCTGGACCTCCCATCTGATCTTGTCCCCTTTGTCAAGGTAAGGACTCTTTGCCCCCGCCCTTTTCTGCACTTCTCTTCACTTCTCCACACTCTCTTCCTCTGCCTCCCCGCCACCCCCACCGCCACATGCCTCGATCTCTTCTGCTCCCTCCAAGTCTTGCTCTTCCCCTTTGCTCCCCACCTCCTCGTCCTCCCAACAGACCCCGTCCGTTTTGTCAAGGTATGCTCCAAGGTGAGCTCTTTGCGCTCACCTCTCTCAGGTATACACTCTTTGCGCTCACCTCTCTCAGGTATACGCTCTTTGCGCTCACCTCTCTCAGGTATACGCTCTTTGCGCTCACCTCTCCTCTCCCCTCCCAACAGACCCCGTCCGTTTTGTCAAGGTCCGTTCCGTTTTGCTCTTTGCACTCACCTCTCCTCTCCCCTTCTTTTCGCTTCTCCATTCTCTCTTCCTCTCCCTTACCCCCTTCTTCCACTCCCACCTGCCTTCCCTACTGGACCCAAGCCCTGCACCTCCCATTCATTTTACCTCCTCTTGTGTGTGTGCACGCATGCGTCATGTGTGTGTGCGAGTGTGTTGGTTTCTTTGTTGGTTTCGTGCTCAGGTTTTGCCTACGCAACCACCGCCACACGGACAAGCTGCACTACAGCAGGAAACAGCTGTGCCTGCATCAGCAACAGCGAAAGCTGAAGTGCACGTAACTATGCCAGAAGCAGCATCACTAGCAACAGCAACATCAGCATCTCCACCACCAGAAGCAGTGGCACAAGCAGCAGTGGCTGGAGCCAGAGGAGCCAGTTCGGTGTTTCAGCCTGTGTGCATTAACCCTGGACACCTTGCGAAGGGATCCGGAGGAGGGACATTTTCAGAGGTGATTATCAAGGGGGGCCTTGGAGGCAAAGAGGATGGGGCTCCTTTTCATGAGCGAGCTGCTGTACATATATATCGCATTTAGTTGTAGGTGTGGAATTTCAGAGTTGCTTGGTTGAGGTGTCGATGACAACCCCTTTATCCTGGTTCTGTTTTTGCCACGAATGATTTGATATATGATTTGTAGTAGTTGCGTAATTTTTTCTCTCCAGAGCGACTTTCGAGGATTGTTAAAGCGTATTTGTGTGCTGGATTCTCTCCCTCCATCGGGTTTGCGGATGTGGCAATGCCAGGTTTTGGCGGGAGAAATCCAGCACCACTAGTTTCTGAATCCCGAATCAGTGAATCAACACTCCGCCACACCTCGAGTGCCACGGCGATGCGACGCGAAATTTGGGTTCGCCTCTGGTGATCAACCCGATTCGAACAATTATAGAGGAGAAATCCAAGCCGTCGATTTTAACCTACGGCCAAGTTACAGTTGCACTGGAATTCTCATCTGCTTCCTTTCCTCCCCCCACTGCCTGTTTTTGCCTGCATCAAACGAATCACTCACTCACACACTGCCTGCATCTACTGTATTGGCGCCATCCGCCATAGCTCCGCCATGCATTCAACGATCCACCTTCCTTTCCGTCGGCTTCCTTCCTCCCACCCTGCAAATTCCTCGATTCCCTCCCACCTTCCTTTCCCGTTCAGTCAGGTTTGCTGCTGCACGTTGCTGCTGCTGTGGCTGCTTCTGTTCGCAACCCTTGTCCATCCTGCCTGTTCACAACAACATTTGCATCCATGCGTGCTTGCTTTTCTGCTGAAACAAGACGTAGGCGAGGGACAAGTTTCGTCTCGACTCTCGACTCGATCCGAACGCAAATTTCACAGTTTTGTGTCCATCAATCATGAGTCGCGATCACACGTAATTTCCCGTGTTACACATCAGATCAGAACAGCCAATGAGAACAGCCTTATTTTGCGGCTGTGCGGAGCGGACGTCGGAGCCAGCATCCGCCTGTGGTGCCATACGCGACGGCTCGATCCGCCGAAAATGCGTCGCTTCGCTAACAGCCTGCCTCGGCTCGACCGCTTTCCCCCCACCCCTCCCCGCAACCCCCCTTTTCTCCCAGTCCCTGTCAAGATGCCCTCTCGCCTCAGGCAGCGCCTGGCGCGATCCACGTCGAACCTGTAATGGCGTTTAATCTGCTGGGAAAGAAAGGTGATCAGGAATGGCACCCACCCGCGCAACCCCCTTCCCCCAAAGCCTGCCAAGATGCCCTTTCGCCTCAGGCAGCGCCTAGCACGAGCCACATCAGACCCTGTGGTGATGTCTTACGTGTACTTACAAGGAAAGAAAGGCGATCACGAAGCCGCCTGTCGATCGGGGTACCTAACGGCGTTCACGAATGGTGCTGATCGCCCTGGGTTAGAAATAACTTCGAGTTGTCTCCGCAGAAGCGAACAAGTAAACCAGAGGTGCAGACTTGACGTAGGAGCCGGCGACGCTTGTCGAAGGTCTTTGAGTTTACTACCTCTCTCGACCATCCACGAGGGCGCAAGCCGCCAGTGGGAGGCAACGGCGGCGTCGTCGAAATCGTCGTCGTCATCTGCGACGTCGTCGCCGCGAAGGCAGCAGCAGCGCGAGAGCTTGCGACATCTGCGGGAACGGATGGCGCAGATTGACCGGCGGCTCGCAATGCAATTGGCGGAAGCCGATGCGGCGACGCGTCGCAGCGCAATGATGACAGTGACCCCGCCATTTGACTCGCCATCGCATGATGCGGGGCGATCAGCGCATCATCATGGTGACCATGAGGCGCCATGCCAGACTTTCCCCCTCGTTACAGCCACGAGGCACCGAAAGAGTTGGAGCGAATTCGTGACAGCCATCCTCCTGTTGCCTCTTCTTCCTTACCTCAGCAGTCGCCTGTGCTTGTGTGTCCTCCCCTCTCCCCTTCCAGACCAGTTTTCAGGTGCATATATCAGGCCTACACCCCTCCATCGACAGCCAACCCCCTGCTCCCCCCTCTTCCTCCCCCACCCTGATTATACTGCTGCTTTCAAGGCGCTAGCATTCTTTCTTTGTCCTTCCCTCCCTCCAGACCAGTTCACAGGTGCAAATATCAGGCCTCCACCCCTCCATTGACAGCCACCCCCTCTGCTGCCTCTTCCTTACCTCAGTAGTCGCCTGCGTGTGTGTGTCCTCCCTTCCCTCCCTCCCCCCAACCAGACCAGCTGTCAGGTGCAAATATCAGGCTTCCACCCCTCCATCGACAGCCAACCCCCTGCTGCCAAAGCGGTGCGTCAGGAGAGAGAGAAGCTGGAGTTGTGGTTGTCGAGTTGACTCAATAGTTGGTCATTCAGCAGTTTCACGGCCACCGGGTGGGTGCTGGTGATCCAGGTGAGATCAGGTGCAGTGCGGTGCGGTGGAAAGCGGTGCAAGGAAAGAGAGGAGATGGGGTTGTTTTGTAAGTGCTGGGTCGACTCAGCAGCTGCATGACGACTGGGTGGGTGCTGGTGCACCAGGTGAGATACGGTGGAGTGTGGCACAAAGTGGTACACCGGGAAAGAGGAGATGAAGCTGGTGATCCAGATGGGGTTGTGTGATCGTTGAGTTGGTTCAGTATTTCATCATTCAGCAGTTGCACGACCACAGGCTGCTGCTGGTGCACCAGGTGAGATGCGGTGCAGTGTGGTGCAACATGGTGCATTAGCAGGAGTTGTGATTGTGAAGTCAACTCAGCAGTTGATCATTCAGCAGCTGCACGACCACAGGTTGGTGCTGGTGCTCCAGGTGAGATACGGTGCTCAAACTTGCCAGTGACGGCATTTATGACGCCTGGGAAGCCAGTGACGTGCAGATGCACATGCGTGTCCCCCAGACTCTCTGCTTTACTGACACATGACTCCTACCCCAGGTTGAGAGAGGAGGGGCTGAGCTGGAACTTGCCAGTGACGGCATTTATGACGCCTGGAAAGCCAGTGACGTACAGATGCACATGCGTGTCCCCCAGACTCTCTGCTTTACTGGCACAGGGCTCCTACCCCAGGTTGAGAGAGGAGGGGCTGAGCTGGAACTTGCCAGTGACGGCATTTATGACGCCTGGAAAGCCAGTGACGTACAGATGCACATGCGTGTCCCCCAGACTCTCTGCTTTACTGGCACAGGGCTCCTACCCCAGGTTGAGAGAGGAGGGGCTGAGCTGGAACTTGCCAGTGACGGCATTTATGACGCCTGGAAAGCCAGTGACGTCCAGATGCACATGCGTGTCCCCCAGACTCTCTGCTTTACTGGCACAGGGCTCCTACCCCAGGTTGAGAGAGGAGGGGCTGAGCTGGAACTTGCCAGTGACGGCATTTATGACGCCTGGAAAGCCAGTGACGTACAGATGCACATGCGTGTCCCCCAGACTCTCTGCTTTACTGGCACAGGGCTCCTACCCCAGGTTGAGAGAGGAGGGGCTGAGCTGGAACTTGCCAGTGACGGCATTTATGACGCCTGGGAAGCCAGTGACGTGCAGATGCACATGCGTGTCCCCCAGACTCTCTGCTTTACTGGCACAGGGCTCCTACCCCAGGTTGAGAGAGGAGGGGCTGAGCTGGAACTTGCCAGTGACGGCATTTATGACGCCTGGAAAGCCAGTGACGTACAGATGCACATGCGTGTCCCCCAGACTCTCTGCTTTACTGGCACAGGGCTCCTACCCCAGGTTGAGAGAGGAGGGGCTGAGCTGGAACTTGCCAAAGACGGCATTTATGACGCCTGGAAAGCCAGTGACGTCCAGATGCACATGCGTGTCCCCCAGACTCTCTGCTTTACTGGCACAGGGCTCCTACCCCAGGTTGAGAGAGGAGGGGCTGAGCTGGAACTTGCCAGTGACGGCATTTATGACGCCTGGAAAGCCAGTGACGTACAGATGCACATGCGTGTCCCCCAGACTCTCTGCTTTACTGGCACAGGGCTCCTACCCCAGGTTGAGAGAGGAGGGGCTGAGCTGGAACTTGCCAGTGACGGCATTTATGACGCCTGGAAAGCCAGTGACGTCCAGATGCACATGCGTGTCCCCCAGACTCTCTGCTTTACTGGCACAGGGCTCCTACCCCAGGTTGAGAGAGGAGGGGCTGAGCTGGAACTTGCCAGTGACGGCATTTATGACGCCTGGAAAGCCAGTGACGTCCAGATGCACATGCGTGTCCCCCAGACTCTCTGCTTTACTGGCACAGGGCTCCTACCCCAGGTTGAGAGAGGAGGGGCTGAGCTGGAACTTGCCAGTGACGGCATTTATGACGCCTGGAAAGCCAGTGACGTACAGATGCACATGCGTGTCCCCCAGACTCTCTGCTTTACTGGCACAGGGCTCCTACCCCAGGTTGAGAGAGGAGGGGCTGAGCTGGAACTTGCCAGTGACGGCATTTATGACGCCTGGAAAGCCAGTGACGTCCAGATGCACATGCGTGTCCCCCAGACTCTCTGCTTTACTGGCACAGGGCTCCTACCCCAGGTTGAGAGAGGAGGGGCTGAGCTGGAACTTGCCAGTGACGGCATTTATGACGCCTGGGAAGCCAGTGACGTGCAGATGCACATGCGTGTCCCCCAGACTCTCTGCTTTACTGGCACAGGGCTCCTACCCCAGGTTGAGAGAGGAGGGGCTGAGCTGGAACTTGCCAGTGACGGCATTTATGACGCCTGGAAAGCCAGTGACGTACAGATGCACATGCGTGTCCCCCAGACTCTCTGCTTTACTGGCACAGGGCTCCTACCCCAGGTTGAGAGAGGAGGGGCTGAGCTGGAACTTGCCAGTGACGGCATTTATGACGCCTGGAAAGCCAGTGACGTACAGATGCACATGCGTGTCCCCCAGACTCTCTGCTTTACTGGCACAGGGCTCCTACCCCAGGTTGAGAGAGGAGGGGCTGAGCTGGAACTTGCCAGTGACGGCATTTATGACGCCTGGAAAGCCAGTGACGTCCAGATGCACATGCGTGTCCCCCAGACTCTCTGCTTTACTGGCACAGGGCTCCTACCCCAGGTTGAGAGAGGAGGGGCTGAGCTGGAACTTGCCAGTGACGGCATTTATGACGCCTGGAAAGCCAGTGACGTCCAGATGCACATGCGTGTCCCCCAGACTCTCTGCTTTACTGGCACAGGGCTCCTACCCCAGGTTGAGAGAGGAGGGGCTGAGCTGGAACTTGCCAGTGACGGCATTTATGACGCCTGGAAAGCCAGTGACGTACAGATGCACATGCGTGTCCCCCAGACTCTCTGCTTTACTGGCACAGGGCTCCTACCCCAGGTTGAGAGAGGAGGGGCTGAGCTGGAACTTGCCAGTGACGGCATTTATGACGCCTGGAAAGCCAGTGACGTCCAGATGCACATGCGTGTCCCCCAGACTCTCTGCTTTACTGGCACAGGGCTCCTACCCCAGGTTGAGAGAGGAGGGGCTGAGCTGGAACTTGCCAGTGACGGCATTTATGACGCCTGGGAAGCCAGTGACGTGCAGATGCACATGCGTGTCCCCCAGACTCTCTGCTTTACTGGCACAGGGCTCCTACCCCAGGTTGAGAGAGGAGGGGCTGAGCTGGAACTTGCCAGTGACGGCATTTATGACGCCTGGAAAGCCAGTGACGTACAGATGCACATGCGTGTCCCCCAGATTCTCTGCTTTACTGGCACAGGGCTCCTACCCCAGGTTGAGAGAGGAGGGGCTGAGCTGGAACTTGCCAGTGACGGCATTTATGACGCCTGGAAAGCCAGTGACGTACAGATGCACATGCGTGTCCCCCAGACTCTCTGCTTTACTGGCACAGGGCTCCTACCCCAGGTTGAGAGAGGAGGGGCTGAGCTGGAACTTGCCAGTGACGGCATTTATGACGCCTGGAAAGCCAGTGACGTACAGATGCACATGCGTGTCCCCCAGACTCTCTGCTTTACTGGCACAGGGCTCCTACCCCAGGTTGAGAGAGGAGGGGCTGAGCTGGAACTTGCCAGTGACGGCATTTATGACGCCTGGAAAGCCAGTGACGTCCAGATGCACATGCGTGTCCCCCAGACTCTCTGCTTTACTGGCACAGGGCTCCTACCCCAGGTTGAGAGAGGAGGGGCTGAGCTGGAACTTGCCAGTGACGGCATTTATGACGCCTGGAAAGCCAGTGACGTACAGATGCACATGCGTGTCCCCCAGACTCTCTGCTTTACTGGCACAGGGCTCCTACCCCAGGTTGAGAGAGGAGGGGCTGAGCTGGAACTTGCCAGTGACGGCATTTATGACGCCTGGAAAGCCAGTGACGTCCAGATGCACATGCGTGTCCCCCAGACTCTCTGCTTTACTGGCACAGGGCTCCTACCCCAGGTTGAGAGAGGAGGGGCTGAGCTGGAACTTGCCAGTGACGGCATTTATGACGCCTGGAAAGCCAGTGACGTACAGATGCACATGCGTGTCCCCCAGACTCTCTGCTTTACTGGCACAGGGCTCCTACCCCAGGTTGAGAGAGGAGGGGCTGAGCTGGAACTTGCCAGTGACGGCATTTATGACGCCTGGAAAGCCAGTGACGTCCAGATGCACATGCGTGTCCCCCAGACTCTCTGCTTTACTGGCACAGGGCTCCTACCCCAGGTTGAGAGAGGAGGGGCTGAGCTGGAACTTGCCAGTGACGGCATTTATGACGCCTGGGAAGCCAGTGACGTGCAGATGCACATGCGTGTCCCCCAGACTCTCTGCTTTACTGGCACAGGGCTCCTACCCCAGGTTGAGAGAGGAGGGGCTGAGCTGGAACTTGCCAGTGACGGCATTTATGACGCCTGGAAAGCCAGTGACGTACAGATGCACATGCGTGTCCCCCAGACTCTCTGCTTTACTGGCACAGGGCTCCTACCCCAGGTTGAGAGAGGAGGGGCTGAGCTGGAACTTGCCAGTGACGGCATTTATGACGCCTGGAAAGCCAGTGACGTACAGATGCACATGCGTGTCCCCCAGACTCTCTGCTTTACTGGCACAGGGCTCCTACCCCAGGTTGAGAGAGGAGGGGCTGAGCTGGAACTTGCCAGTGACGGCATTTATGACGCCTGGAAAGCCAGTGACGTACAGATGCACATGCGTGTCCCCCAGACTCTCTGCTTTACTGGCACAGGGCTCCTACCCCAGGTTGAGAGAGGAGGGGCTGAGCTGGAACTTGCCAGTGACGGCATTTATGACGCCTGGAAAGCCAGTGACGTCCAGATGCACATGCGTGTCCCCCAGACTCTCTGCTTTACTGGCACAGGGCTCCTACCCCAGGTTGAGAGAGGAGGGGCTGAGCTGGAACTTGCCAGTGACGGCATTTATGACGCCTGGAAAGCCAGTGACGTACAGATGCACATGCGTGTCCCCCAGACTCTCTGCTTTACTGGCACAGGGCTCCTACCCCAGGTTGAGAGAGGAGGGGCTGAGCTGGAACTTGCCAGTGACGGCATTTATGACGCCTGGAAAGCCAGTGACGTCCAGATGCACATGCGTGTCCCCCAGACTCTCTGCTTTACTGGCACAGGGCTCCTACCCCAGGTTGAGAGAGGAGGGGCTGAGCTGGAACTTGCCAGTGACGGCATTTATGACGCCTGGGAAGCCAGTGACGTGCAGATGCACATGCGTGTCCCCCAGACTCTCTGCTTTACTGGCACAGGGCTCCTACCCCAGGTTGAGAGAGGAGGGGCTGAGCTGGAACTTGCCAGTGACGGCATTTATGACGCCTGGAAAGCCAGTGACGTACAGATGCACATGCGTGTCCCCCAGACTCTCTGCTTTACTGGCACAGGGCTCCTACCCCAGGTTGAGAGAGGAGGGGCTGAGCTGGAACTTGCCAGTGACGGCATTTATGACGCCTGGAAAGCCAGTGACGTACAGATGCACATGCGTGTCCCCCAGACTCTCTGCTTTACTGGCACAGGGCTCCTACCCCAGGTTGAGAGAGGAGGGGCTGAGCTGGAACTTGCCAGTGACGGCATTTATGACGCCTGGAAAGCCAGTGACGTACAGATGCACATGCGTGTCCCCCAGACTCTCTGCTTTACTGGCACAGGGCTCCTACCCCAGGTTGAGAGAGGAGGGGCTGAGCTGGAACTTGCCAGTGACGGCATTTATGACGCCTGGAAAGCCAGTGACGTACAGATGCACATGCGTGTCCCCCAGACTCTCTGCTTTACTGGCACAGGGCTCCTACCCCAGGTTGAGAGAGGAGGGGCTGAGCTGGAACTTGCCAGTGACGACATGTGTGGCGCCTGGAAGGCCAGTGACGTACACACGCACATGCACGGAAAGCCAGTGACGTACAGATGCACATGCACGGAAAGCCTGAAACTTCCCCAAACTCTGTACGTGCACACTTGTTGTCCTGCGTGCTGGCGGGACTCCTTTCACCGAGGGTTGACAAAGGTGGAGCTGAACCTACGCATGCATGCCAGTGAGGAGGTTTGAGATGCCTCAAGACCCATGCGTGATGACATGCGTGTTCCCCAAGCTCTCGGCTTGCGTGCTGGCAGGACTCCTTTCACCGAGGGTTGAGGGAGGAGGAGCTGAACTGACTCATGCCTGTGAGGAGGTTTGAGATGTGAGGAGGTTTGAGATGTGAGGAGGTTTGAGATGCCATGAAAGCCAGTGACGTGACGTACACATGCAAACGTGCTTGTTCCCCTTACTCTCTGCTTGCTTGCTTGTTCGTTGTCCTGCATGCTGACAGGACTTCTTCTATTGCGGATAGACAGAGGAGGAGGTGAAGTGAAGCATGCAAGTGACGATATATGAGGCGTCTTATAAGCCAGTGACATTCACATGCGACATGCGTGTTCCCCAATCTCTCTGCTTGCTAACTGACAGGACTCCTTCTACCGAGGGTTGACAGAGGAGGAGCTATTTCAGGCATAGGCATGTGCACTAAAAGGAAAAGCCCGTTTGTTATTGCTTGCTTTTTTCCTCGCTTGCTTGCATGCTGACAGGATTCCTTCTACCGTGGGTTGACAGAGGAGGAGCTTAAACGTGCGAGCGATTTCAACTTCGACCATCCTGGTAAGCTAGTAACCAGTCATTGATTTAATATTGTTTCTTAGACGTCTCAAAAAGAATTCTATTTCACGTCGACCATCCTGGTAGGATGGTAACCACTCAGCTCTCTCAATCGGGTATGCATTGGAATACCACTGTTCACGTGGTGCTGGTGGTGGTATGCAGTCGGGTATGCAGTCGGATATTGTTTCTCTCAGCACCACTGTTCACGTGGTGCTGGTGGTAACCACCACCACGTGTCTTGCAAGTTGACAGAGGAGGAGCTGAAGCACGCCAGTGACTTCAGCTTCGACCATCCTGGTAACCACAGCTCAGTTTGTATCGGTATGCTTAATTACCACTGTGAGCGGTGCTGGTGGTAACCACTACCCCGTTTTAGGGAATTTCGAAAAACCCCTTGAGAACTCTTAAAACTCCTTGAGAGTTGTCAAAAAGCATCCTTAGCCTGTGTGCATATGGTTACCACTGTATGCGGCGCTGCTGATAACCACCACCCCGTTTCTTGCAAGCTGGCAAAGGAAGAGCAGAAGCGTGCTTGTAACTTCCGCGTGTAATGAGTCTGCTTTTGAGTCGACTCAAAAGCAAAGGAAGAGCAGAAGCATGCTTGTAACTTCAACTTCAAAAGTCCTGGGTAAGTTGGAAACCAGTCACTCAGTCAAGTTTCTACCCTTGTTGCACTCACGGAGGGTTGATTGATAGAGTGATTGACCATCGTGGCACTACCTTACGACTTTCGAGGCGGCTCAAAAGGTTCCACCCTTGTTGCTCTGAATTAGGGTTGATCAATAGACTGATTGACCATTGTGCCACTACTTCACTTGTGTTCCCGTGCCTCCTTCCCTCGTCTCCTCCCTCTGCTTCCTCCCTCTGCTTCCTCCCTCTGCCGTGCCCACTTGTCTCCTCCCTCTGCCTTCTCCCTCTCCCCCTCCCCACCAATCCCCTACCTTTGACTTCCCTTCATCCTTCCTCTGCCTCCTCCCTCTGCCTCCTCCTTGACTGCTCCCCTCCCTCCCTCACTTCCCTCAGTCGCATTTGGCACGGACGCTCTGCACTCAACCCTCTGCACTAAACTCTCATTGCTCACAAGGAGCGTTGATCTGTGGCGATCCTAGTGGATGATTTCCATGTCTTTTCTACCTTGCTTTTGCACTCTTATCAGCACTCGACAATCTTTATGGTTTTTCCTAACATCTTATATTCCTGCAGCTGTGCCTCTGCCTCCTGCTGTGGCGATTGAGTCGGTCTTACGTTTCGATGCGGAGGGTCGTGCGATCGACTTTGATGAGTGGCTGCTCCAAGTCAAGCTCTACCTGACGAGCCAGGTTCAGCAGGGCGTCTCCTTGTACGACCACGCTTCGGGTGAGCTCCCAACCCCGCCATGTCCTTCTGATCTTGCCGCTGACGCCACGCCGGCGCAGAAGGAGGAATATCGCGCGGCTCGCCTGGAGTACAGCCACTGGAAGGCACGCGACGCTGCTGCACACCTCGCCATCCGCCGCCACCTCCCGCTGGCCGAGCGGAAGCACTTCAACCAGGTGAAGACCGCGAAGGAGTGTTTGGATGCTGTTATCGCTCGCTACTCCACTCCTTCGCCTGGTACTTTAGGCCGCCTCTTTCTGCCCTTCCTATTTCCTGATCTCCCTTCGTTCCATACCGTCGGTGACCTGGTCAGGCACTTGCGCTCGCTTGACGCTAGGTTCCGCGCTGCTTGCACTACTGAGTTTCTTGCTAAGAATCCGCCCCCCATGTATATCACACTGTATCTCCTCGCGACCCGCCTTCCTGATCGCTTCGTGGCTGCCCGGGATCACTTCCTCACTGTGCACCCCACGACCCTCACTATCGACCTCTTTGAGACGCGTCTCACTGAGATCGAGACTCCCCTACGCACCCTAGCCTTCGTTCATGGTACGGTGCTTCCCCCTATCTTTGAGGGGTGCGCCCCGTCTCTGCTCAGTGCCTCCGCTGCCTCCGCTGCTGGAGTTGAGCCTGTTGCCCCGACGAATATTGTAGCAGTTGCTGCCTCTGGTGGGCAACGACGTCGCAAGAGTGGTCGTAGGAGTGGAGGGGGTGGAGGTGGTGGAGGCGGTGGAGGTGCTGGTACGTCTGGGAGGTCTGGCGCTGGAGGAGGTTCCGGGGTTGGTGGTACGGCCAGATGAGGTGCTGGTCCTGGGGGTGTGGCAGTGACGCAGCAGCAGCGGCAGCAGCAGCAGCAGCAGCAGCAGCAGCAGCAGTCGTCGCAGCAGCATCAGCAGATCCAGCAGTAGGCCTCCCAAAGCTCTGATAATTAGGGTTGATCATGAGCATTACTCTGATTTGTCAGAGAAACTTCTGCAAAAACAACTCCGATCAGTCAGTGTACCTAATTTTCCAACTCCCGTGTGTCCTCTCAAGTGTTGAACCCACGCCTTCAGCGTTCCTACAAAAGTACATACCGTATTACCCCGGATAAAAGCGCACCTGCGCTTATAATAAAACATGATTTTTCAGGGGGGTGCGCTTATAATTGAGTAAAAAATATAAGCGCATGCGCTTATAAAATAACAAATATACAATTTTAAATTACTAGCACGAAAATGTAGTTCGCGTCATTGCGCACCCAATCGAGTCGATTTGAAACAGGGTTGTGGGTGAAAATCTCTCGCTACTTGGCAAGATTCCCTGCCAGCACAAACACTCAAAATGAGTCACTAGGCGCTTCTGACAGCACATGCTGACTGGACGCGCACCCTGCAGGGTTTGAATGTGAAGGAAATTCAATTTTCAAGTCATCAGCTTGCTAAAGCGAGCTTCGTTACAGTACCGTAGTTTGACAGTTTTTCAAATTTAAAACTAACATGCGCTTATAATTGAGGATCGGCCATAAGCGCATTACTCCAGATAGAAGCGCATGCGCTTTTAATAGGCCTGTGGTTATATTCGGGGTGATACGGTAGTACCGTTGTGCTATACGCTCACTACATATTTAGGAAACGCACATTGTATGGAGAAATACTTGTCTGCTAGCCATTTTCGGGGGGGCTCGGTCGAAATGCATGTACCTTGTACAGAGAAAATTGCATTCGCCAGAAATTTACACTGGTCTATCAGAGTAGCTAAAAACAAAACCCTGGCAAATCAGAGAAAACTTATCTTCCAGAAAAATTACCCAGAAACGTCAGAGCGACCCCCCAAAAACCACTCTGATTTTCGAAGGAACAGAGTAATTTACTCTGATAAAATAACCCCTGCTATGGGTACAATATACATGAGCTTGGCCATTGTTGTCTCGTGCGTTATGCTGTTGACGTGCAATAGTGGTATCACCAATCGTTTCGGCTGACAAGCCACCAACCAACCTCAAGCCCACGGTTTTTGCTACAGTTGCAAGCCAGCTTGCCTGGACACAACCACTGTCATTCATGCACTTACATTTCTACAATAGCTACAGGCTAGCCAGCCCTCATGTGTCTTGTCAATGGGACAGTGCGTGCTTTCAGCAGTTACTAACGTGCTTGGAATGTTGTACGTTTCTTTGTTCAGAACCAGTTACACATTCGACATAGCTGGACATATAGGGTAACTACCAAAGAGATTTTGTTCAACTGATGTGTGTCCCTTTGTTCTCTGAGATGGGCGCAGTGTGATGGTGATGGGAGATTTGTGTTTCAACAGGTACCCACATGTGGGAGGGGCGCAGTCTCAGCTTTGGTGTTTTGGAGCAGCCGATGGTACTTCGGTGTTTTACTGTAAAATGTACATCCACTTATTCGTTTATCTCACCGAGCGCGTTTCGGTCGGAGGTGCTTGTCGTTTTTGCCCGGTGCTTTTAACGTCTGCGAGTCACATTTCCCTGCGTATTGCCGTCCCTTGCTCCCAAAATGTGGCTATAAATACGTTTTGCAACTGTAGGCTGGCCTGACCTAATCATAACTAATAAATTTGACCCCGTCTTTAGCGCGAATGCGTGCAACTGTAGTGCTCTGCCACCATTTTTTTTCAACGTTTAGCAATTCAATGCTGAGCTGATCACGCGTGTGAATCGATTCTATGTGACATAAACGCATCGCTCCCAACCTCCTATGTGATGTGAACGTACCGAGCTGGTAGCACAATCGCTAGTGCATCAAACGAATAAGTGGGTGTATATCAATTGGCTGCTCCGACACTTGCATTCAGATTCTTGCTGGCACATTTTCACAAATCCATTCCATGTTTGTGTTTTTCAATATATTAGGCAATTATGTTGCACCATCTGAAACAGAAAGTCGGGAATCATTGCTACATGAACCTTCACATACTGCAGCACCTTCAGCTGCGTCAAATCATGTGGCAATAACTTCAATCGCACACAACCAAACAGGCTGAGCATCCTCAGCCATGTGGCAGTGCTGGTGGCAGTGGCATAGAGGGGAGTGAAGGAGGGAGTGAGGTGGGATGCTGCAAGAGGAGGGATCCAATCTGGTAGGGAGAGAGTTTGGGAAAGGGTAACGAGTACTAACTTAAGTTACAACATAATTAGTGCAGTTTACCATGGTGCATGATACTACAAGTGGAAATTATCAAGGAAAAAGGTGCAAAGAGTTTTGAGGCACCTCAATACCTCTCGGTGTGTTTTGAGTCGACTCAAAACAGTTTTGAGGCACCTCAATACCTCTCGGAGTGTTTTGAGTCGACTCAAAACAGTTTTGAGGCACCTCAATACCTCTCGGTGTGTTTTGAGTCGACTCAAAACAGTTTTGAGGCACCTCAATACCTCTCGGTGTGTTTTGAGTCGACTCAAAACAGTTTTGAGGCACCTCGATACCTCTCGGTGTGTTTTGAGTCAACTCAAAACAGTTTTGAGGCACCTCAATACCTCTCGGTGTGTTTTGAGTCGACTCAAAACAGTTTTGAGGCACCTCAATACCTCTCGGTGTGTTTTGAGTCGACTCAAAACAGTTTTGAGGCACCTCAATACCTCTCGGTGTGTTTTGAGACGACTCAAAACAGTTTTGAGGCACCTCAATACCTCTCGGTGTGTTTTGAGTCGACTCAAAACAGTTTTGAGGCACCTCAATACCTCTCGGTGTGTTTTGAGTCGACTCAAAACAGTTTTGAGGCACCTCGATACCTCTCGGTGTGTTTTGAGTCAACTCAAAACAGTTTTGAGGCACCTCAATACCTCTCGGTGTGTTTTGAGTCGACTCAAAACAGTTTTGAGGCACCTCAATACCTCTCGGTGTGTTTTGAGACGACTCAAAACAGTTTTGAGGCACCTCAATACCTCTCGGTGTGTTTTGAGTCGACTCAAAACAGTTTTGAGGCACCTCAATACCTCTCGGTGTGTTTTGAGTCGACTCAAAACAGTTTTGAGGCACCTCAATACCTCTCGGTGTGTTTTGAGTCGACTCAAAACAGTTTTGAGGCACCTCGATACCTCTCGGTGTGTTTTGAGTCAACTCAAAACAGTTTTGAGGCACCTCAATACCTCTCGGTGTGTTTTGAGTCGACTCAAAACAGTTTTGAGGCACCTCAATACCTCTCGGTGTGTTTTGAGACGACTCAAAACAGTTTTGAGGCACCTCAATACCTCTCGGTGTGTTTTGAGTCGACTCAAAACAGTTTTGAGGCACCTCAATACCTCTCGGTGTGTTTTGAGTCGACTCAAAACAGTTTTGAGGCACCTCAATACCTCTCGTAAGGCACCTCAATACCTCTCGTAAGGTACCAGTATTTACCGAGGACATCTATCCTCTCCACTGCTTCATCTCTACTCACCCCCCCTCCCCTCTCACAATTCCCCCTCTCCACTCACCCTCTCCCCCTATTGATTCACCATCTCCTCCTCCACACTTAGCATAGGGGCGTGAATGCGAGTGTGAATATGATTTGATTGTGATTGGGGGTGGGAGTTGGAGTGTAGGCATGGTTTGTATGTGACTGTGTGAGTGAGCCTGTGTATAAGTGGGAGTGAGTGTGTGTGTGTGTATGTGTGTATATGTGTGTGTGTGTGTGTCTGTGTATGTGTGTGTGTGTGTGTGAATAGTACTATGCGTGTGAGTGAGGGGGGGGAGTGCGAGTCTGAGACTGCTCTATGCAGCAAGGGAAGAGTCGACCCTCCTTGAGAACAAGGTGACTTTTGAGTCGACTCAAAAGTCAGCTTGCTCTATGCGGCAAGGGAAGAGTCGACCCTCCTTGAGAACACCAACAGGTTGACTTTAGAGGGAGCGGAAAGTGAACACGTTTCTAGGGAGGGTGGGAATGCGAGTCTGAGGCTGCTCAATGCAGCAGCAAGGCAGCAAGGAAAGAGTCGAACCCCTCCGAGAACACTAACAGGTTGGCTTTAGAGGGAGCGGAAAGTGAACACGTTTCTAGGGAGGGTGGGATGAGGGACACTGTCGGAGAGTGTGGGTAGGAGTTTGGGTGCAACTGTGGTTGGGAGTATGGGCAGGAGTGTGGATGGGAGAGTGGGGGGGATTGTGGACAGGACACAAGAAGAAAGACAAGTTCAAAGAGGAAACCAGAGGGTGGTTGAGATTTAGTGGAAGAGGACACCAGTTAGGCGACATTGAGTTCGATACGTGGCAGCAACTTAGGATTCCACACCAGTAGTTGTTGGTAGAGGACACAAGAAGACAGACGAGTTCAAAGAGGAAACCAGAGGGTGGTTGAGATTCACACAGACGAGTCCAGAGAGTCCTCACTCCAGACGAGCACAGAGAGCACCTGAGAAGCTGGGCTTGCACCTGAGAAGCTGGGCTTGCACCTGAGAAGCTGGGCTTGCGCCTGAGAAGCTGGGCTTGCACCTGAGAAGCTGAGCTTCTCCACCCACCCTCCCCACTCACCCCACTCACCCCACCCACCCCACTCACCCCACCCACCCCACTCACCCCACTCACCCCACTCACCCCACTCACCCCACTCACCCCACTCCCTCCACTCACCCCACTCACCCCACTCACCCCACTCACCACATTCACCCCACTCACCCGACTCACCCACTCACCCAACTCACCCACTCACCCCACTCACCTCACTCACCCATTCAACCCACTCACCCCACTCAACCGACTCACCCACTCACCCCACTCATCCCACTCACCCCACTCACCCCACTCACCCACTCACTCCACTCCCTCTACTCACCCCACCTATCCCACTCACCCCACTCCCTCCACTCACCCCACTCACCCCACTCACCACATTCACCCCACTCACCCCACTCATCCCACTCACCCCACTCATCCCACTCACCCCACTCATCCCACTCACCCCACTCATCCCACTCACCCCACTCATCCCACTCATCCCACTCATCCCACTCATCCCACTCACCCCACTCACCACTCACCCCACTCGCCAGCACACCAGTAGAAGGCATTTGTATGGCTGCCGTTGAAGAGAGTGACTGAAACGGAAGGAACAAGAACGTGGGGGAGGGAGGAGGAAGGGGAAAGAGCCAGGTTAGGAATTTGGTGTATTATCTCGGGGTTTGGTGGGGTATGAACAGAAGTCAGACGACCCATGCGTGAGGGTTGTAATAGGTCGTCGTGAGCATTGGTGCTGTTGAAGAGAGTGACTGGAACGAAGGGGTTGAGAGCGGCACCAGAGTGGTTGAGAAGGGTTAGGAAGGGTACAGTGGGGTATGGGAATTTGAGTCCAGAAAGAAAAACCCAGAGGGAGGATTCAGCGAGGAGAAAATTCTGGCATTGGAAAGACAGACGACAACTGATAGCTGGACGTTTTGTGATGACTATGGTGCAAACATTCAAGTTTAAGCTAGGATGCCCATTAATCTGGTCAGATGTAGTGCACATTCTACCATTGTTTTGCTGTTTTTTGTCTACAAGGATCCTAGAGCACGCCCGAGGGAGGGACTAGCAATATCATAGCTCCTTTCCCAAATAAGCCGACTTGGGATCAGCTTGTATTGAATCTCTCCGGAATATACCACTACTCAAATCTACCAAGAATCCATTACACAATCTATGCACAAGTACCGTACACACTCCACAAATGCTCTGAAGAACGCATTTGACAATGGCTAGCCGAAAAAGAAACATGACACTTGCCAAAGGTCACTCTGATCACCACACACTCTGTTCGTGTCAAGCTACGGTACTACTTCTTGATTTCCAGACCATGCATGTCCCGAAGACCACAACACAGTGCACGGGACATGCCTTCAATCGCTTGCTTGCACCCTTTGACATTCAAGTGCCGCAGCACCTTCAGCTGAGTCAACTCCTCTGGCAAGGCCTTCAATTGCACGCAGCCAAACAGGCTGAGCCATCTCAGCCGGGTCAACTGAGCAAACCTGGGAGGAAGAGAGCTGATGGACGTCCTCTAAACTTTAAGCGTGCAGAGGCAGCTAAGCTGCGTGAGCGAAGATGGTAGCTGCTGCAGGGCCTTACATCCTGACAGATCCAGCTCACGCAGCCTGGATAATGCACCAAATCCATAGGGGATTGAGGTGACCTTGGGTGCAACAACCTCTAACGCTGTCAGGTGTTGGAGCTGTGAGAAAGTTTCTGGTAGCTCCATAAGCTCTTCAAAGTCGAGTAATTGCAAGTCACGCAGCTGCTGCAAAGCCGAACCGATGCTTCGTGGGAGGGTCTGAAGCAACTCAGCATCAGAAATACTCAACAGATTCGAGGGAGATTGGAAACTCAAGAACGTTGTTTGCCAACCCCAGCTCCAACTGCTGCAGACAAGACGGCAGGGAAATCTGAGGCAGTGAATCAGCCCGACTGTTTCTGTACCAAGACAGAACCTCAAGGGCGAGTGGCAACGCCACAGGGAACCCAGACAGATGCCTGCACCTTCTTATCTTCAAACACTTCAGCTCCATGAGGCTACTCAGCATTCTTGGCAGCAAAGAGAGCCTTTCACAATCCTCGATGATCAAGGTTACAAGGCTAGTGAGCCCTGTAATGACATCCGGTATCTCCCTGAAAACATCACAGTCATGAATGTAGAGATGCTGCAGGTTACTCAGATTGTCCAAACCCTCAGGAAGCACTGTAAATTCGCATCTGCCAAGCTCGAGACTCTTCAGAGAAATCAGCTGAGCAAAGGAAGGGAAGAGCCGCTGCTTTGTGCAATGATGCAGGTGAAGAGTCTCGAGGTTGCTGAGCCATCCGATCCTCTCTGGAAGCACCGTCAGCCAAATGCTTTTTAGGTTCAGAATTTTGAGAGATGAAAGTTGGCAGAGCGAGTCAGGTAGCTCTCGGAGAGACACTCTCGTCAGAATCAGTGATTTGAGCGAAGGCAGCTCTCCAAAGCCCTCGGGTAGGCTGTGAAGCCGCGAGCACCCGGTAATGGAAAAGCTCTCCAATGTTGTTAGGGTTGTAATATTATCCGGGAGTCGGTCGAGCTGAGAACAATCGCGAATGGTAAGCTCACGGAGGCACGGCAACAGCTCTCCGATGTCATTGGGAAGTCGATGTAGGTTGGTGGATTTGGTAATCACCAGCTGTTCTAGTCGACTGCATTGCCGGAGGTTGGTGGCGTTGGTGATCACCAGCTGTTCTAGGCGAGTACACAATGATCTTCTCGGGAACATTGAAGTGAAGCTAAGACTGGGAATTTGGGTCTTGAGACAACGTAGCTGAGTTACTGCAAAAATTGCAGCTGGTGGATCATTCTTGGGGAGGCAGGCTTTACTGGAAATTGAGAGTCTGGAGAGTCTTGGCATGCGCGCGAGGCTTGACAACTGCTGATGCGTCAATTTGGAGACACTAACATGGAGGGACGTGAGAGACGAAAGTCTTGGAAATCTGGAAAATGCCACAGCTGAAACGCTGGTTAGAGAAACTGTGTGGAGATGCTGCAGCTGGAAAAAGGAATCTGGCAACTCAGTATCTTTATGGAGGCAGTGAAGTGTAATCTCCTCCAGCTGAGTGCACTTGAGGAAGAAATTCTTCAAACCGGCTTCACTAACTGGATGTTCATCCTTGTTTCCTCCACATTCCGTCAGTGCGATCCTGCCCACGTGAAGAGCTTTCAGATTTGGCCATGAGGAGGCAAGGCGAGTGAGGAAAGAGTTGTCAATCATCTCGACACTGCCGTCACTAAGGTGGAGATTCGTAAGGCTGTCAAAACAAGCAAGGGCGTTCGCCAGATCTTGAAGAGATACAATAAGGTTCTCTTGAACTATGATGCTGGTGACTTGACGCTTAACGAGATGACGCCAGCGATTGCACACGGACGCGATGAGCAAATTGTATGCGAAGGTTGGAGTTAACTTGTTCGGCCTAAAATGCCACTGAGGAAGCGAAACGCATGAAGACTCAGAACCTTTTGGGAAAGGCAACGTATCCTGGAACCATAAAATCTTCGTAAGGAGGTCATCTGAGAGTCGATCAATGTGTGAGAGACGCTCCATCTAAACTCCCGAGGATTAACCGCAGGAACTATTAGAGAAGATATGAAACAAGATCTCGTTGACCAGAGCGAAATGACCAAGGGCTAGGGAGAAAGTCGCTTATGTACGGATCTCAGTATTTCAGCTCCTAATGTTCTCCCACGAGATTCTAGAAACACGGATCACGACCCACGCTGACCTGCGAGCTGGAGGTAAGGCGAGTGACGAAGGAACCCGCCGTGCTTGCGTTGCTGGATGAGCTTCCAATCTCAATGAGAGTCCCTACGCCGTGTCGAACCTATGGTATATTGCTGACGTGTTTCCGAGTTCTACCATGCCCAAATCTAACGAATTAGCTCACACCAGCGCTTCTTAGGGATCTTCAGGGAGCCTAGGCTGGGCTAATCTGACTGGATTTCGTGCTGGACACACACATTCACTTGACAAGGCTTGGGCTACTGGAGCAAGGAATCAAGTCGTAGAATCAGGTGCTGGCTGGCAGGGAGTCATGAGGGAGTTCGGAGGATTCCCATACAGAACTCACAAATGAGACTCGCTATTGAGCTCTCTTTTTCTTTCGAACAAACGTTCAATTTCCGTCAAAGCAAACTCTACCATTTCAAATTAAGTCTTTCATGAACATCCATGCTCTGGCAAAATGCTGGGCAGTGAAGCACACCTCTATGATTGATATAGCGCATGACTTGATGATTACAATTAATAAGTGGACTCGAGCATTGTTGTTTATCAATCAAATGTATGTATCGTTTCTTACCATTCAAACATGCAAACAGAAGCAATTGGCTTGAAATTTACATGAAATTGCAATACGGTCACTGAATATAATACCGTCCAACAGATTTTGCAAGATCACGGTTGCCCTGGCCGAAGAGGGATGGCCATGCAGAAAATCTTGAAGTCTGCACAACCCAATGAGTGAAGAGCCATCACGTCATACCCGCTTTGATGCCTGCTTGCTGTATCCTCACCTGATGCAAGCACTGTGATTCCATCACAGAGGAGATGAAGAAGGAAAGCAAAGAAGGAAATGAAGTGGTGAGGCAGCAGCTGAGATATTTGTGGTGGTGATGGAGAGGTGAGTGGGAGGGAGAGAAGAGTGAGGTGGGATGGAATGGGCACACTCTCGTGTTGTCTGCTTGGGGTGAGGGGAAACAAGGAGCGGACCTGGGAGGAAGAGAGTACGAGTAGGGTGAGGATGATCATTAGGGAGTTAAAGAAACATGGCACGGATTTTCTGGATCATGAAGACACTCATAGATGAGTACCCTATTACCAATCAAAACTCGTTTTGGGTTAACAACATCTCTTTGATAACATCAGGTACTTACTTGGCCTATTTGCACATCTGTCATCCCCACTGCTTGTCCACTCACGATCACCATTCCCCTTTTCCACTCACCAACTCTCCATCCTCTCCACCTGCAGCAGCGCATCTGTTGTGGCTCTAACTCAAAACGCCAGGCTGCTGCGCGGCAGGGTGTGGGAGAGAGAGAGGGGTGACGCTGCCACGCCCAAGTTGGGGCAGGCGGAGTGCCCCGGGCACTGCTCGAAGGGGGGGGTTGTGGCAGAGAGAAAGGCACCAGGAGAGAGGAGGACAGAGAGATCATCTTCAGCTAGTCTGCTGCGCCGGCAGACAGGGCGGCGCTGCGGAGATGATTGCTACAACGGGAGCTAGACTACGGGCTAGGCACGGGTGCTCGTGTGATATCTGCGTTCGTTAGTCCTTAGTCGTTTCCTAGTGCACACACTGCTTGCTAGTTCACGGGGCAAGTAGGCAAGAGTTTCACTAGAGAAAGTTGATAATAATTGTGGTGCAATAAAGTTGGCATGGCAAGACTACATCAGAGCTAGCATTCAGGTCGGTCGACTGCCAGCGCAGCATGGTCGACCGCGTTCCAGCACGACTTGGTCGACCGCGCTCCAGCAGTGCAAAGTCGACGGCGTGCCAACGCTGCAGGTCGACTGCGTGCCAGCGTAGCTCCCGCAGTACAGCATCGCATCAGCTTCGCAGGTGCTCGCAGATGATTGGTGTGTTGAGCCTTGTCACCTGCACAACGCACACACCAAGTCAACCTGGCGCTGATGACTGCTTCTGATCAGCCACGTCGACCTCGGGATACCACCACCGAGGTTGGGCTCGCCAACTTCGCCTGGGCGACCGTCGCGCTCCTCCGCAGAACCTCGTCACCCAGGTAACCTGGTCGACTGGGCAACCACGTCGACCAGCTGCTCCCGTACGTGCCCGTTGACCTCCCAAGTCGACGGCCACCTCCAGGTCGACCTCACCAGGTCGACCATGCCCCTGGTCGACCAGCTCCAGGTCGACGTCACTTCTGGTCGACCAACTCCTCGTCGACCAGCGCAGTTGTCAGCCGACCTCCCAAGTCGACTGCCCGAAGTCGGCGTGCTACTCGATGCCCATCTACTCGGCGTCCTGAGTCGAGGTCGACGTCGGCCCCTCCTTCGTCGACCACCAGGCCAGGTCGACCACCACAAGTCGACCAGCAGGTCTGGTCGACCAACCACTAGGTCGACCAGCAGTACTGTCAGCCGACCACCCATGTCGGCTGCCCCCAAGTTGGCGTCACCTAGTTGACGCCCTCCGCAGGTCGACTTCCCAGGTCGACCTCCCTGAAGTCGGTGCCACCTGGAAGCCGGCGCCCATGCAGTGGCCCCCGTGCAGGTCGACCTCCTCGTCAACCAGCTCGCCCACTGCTGCATGTCGGCTGCTCCCCTCACACCCGACCACGAAGTCGGCTCCGCCCAAGCGAGGACGGGGCCAACACACAACTCCCGTTGACAGGCGCTCCCGGGTCCCAGTTGGGGCAGGCCGACTGCTCTGAACAATGGCATGGGGGGTGATAAAAAGGGAGGGTGCAGGGGGTGAGGACAGTGAGAGTGAGTCAGGGAGACGCTGACGGGTCCCAGTGGGGCAGGTCGATTGCCCTGGGCACTGCTTGAAGGGGAGGGTGTGGGAGATAGGGGGGGTGAGAAACAGGAAGCAGTGTATGGGGTGAGGAAGGTGAGCGTGAGGCTGGACAATGCAGGCAGGTCCCAGTTGGGTAAGGCCGACTGCCCTGGGCAGGGCACTGCTCGTACGGGAGAGGGGCAGAGCGAAAGGCACCAGGAGAGAGGAAGGCAAAGGAAGAGGGTCTCTGAACGCCAGTCTGTTGCGCCGGCAGGGTGACGCTGCCTGCCAGGGCTCAGTTGGGGCAGGCCAACTTCCCTGGGCACTGCTTGAAGGGGGGGCTGTGGGAGTGAGGGGGGAGTGGGAAACAGGGAGTGTGCAGGGGATGAGGAGGGTGAGAGTGAGGCTGGGCAATGAAAAGCCAGGTCCCTGTTGGGTAAGCCTGCTGCTCTTGGGACATTCAGCAGGAGGAAAGAGCACATGAGGAGGTGAAAATGGAACAGTTGGAGAAAGTGGGAGAGGATGGGGGGGGGTGGCGAAAAATTGAATGGGCCAGAGAGGGAGTGAATGGGGCAGAGAGGGAGTGAATGGGGCAGAGAGGGAGTGAATGGGACAGAGGGAGTGAATGGGCAGAGAGGGGGTGAATGGGGCAGAGAGGGAGTGTGAGGGGCAGAGTGAGAGTGAATGGGACAGAGAGGGAGTGAATGGGGCAGAGAGGGAGTGAATGGGGCAGCAAAGGAATGAATAGGGCAGAGAGGGAGTGAATGGGGCAGAGAGGGAGTGAATGGGGCAGCAAAGGAATGAATAGGGCAGAGAGGGAGTGAATGGGGCAGAGAGGGAGTGAGAGGGGCAGAGTGAGAGTGAATGGGACAGAGAGGGAATGCATGGGCCAAGATACGAAATGAGGAGAGGTGGGCGGGGGTGTTGTTTTGAGATACCTTGACGAATGACACAGGGAACAGAACAGCCCTTCGCTCCACGAGGAGTGTTCGGAGTGTCACCGCTGCTCCAACAGGCAGCACCCCCTACGGTGTACTGGCCATGGAGATGGGGGAAAAGGGTGTCACAGAGCAAGTGGGGCTTAGGGAGAGTTAGAGCGGCAATAAGCGGGAATGTGAGAGTGGCAGAGAGAGGTAGCGCGAGAGCGGCAGGGAGCGAGAGAGAGATTGCAGCAGGTGAGAATGCGGCAGGGCATGAGAGAGAGAGTGCGGCAGGGCATGAGAGAGAGAGTGCGGCAGGGCATGAGAGAGAGAGTGCGGCAGGGCATGAGAGAGAGAGTGCGGCAGGGCATGAGAGAGAGAGTGCGGCAGGGGCGAGAGAGGGAATGCGGCAGGGCGAGAGAGGGAATGCGGCAGGGCGTGAGAGAGAATGCGGCAGCGAGCGAGAGAGAGAAAGAGGGCAAGCGAAGCGGGGAGAGAGAGAGAGAGAGCAACGGCGGGAGAGACAGAGAGAGAAAGACCGAAAGGGAGAGAGATAGAATGAGGGGTAGGCGGAGAAATAGAGAGGGAGAGCAACAGAGGGAGAAAGAGAGAGAGAGAGCAAGGGAAGCGGAGAGAGAAAAAGAGAGCAAGCGAAGCGGGGAGAGAGAGAGAGAAACGGCGGGAGAGACAGAGAGAGTGCAACCGAAAGGGAGAGCGAGAGAATGCGGGAGAGCAAGAGAGAGAAAGCGGCAGAGCGAGAGAGATAATGCGGCAGAGCGAGAGAGAGAGAATGCGGCAGAGGGAGAGGGATAATGCGGCAACAAGAGAGAGAATGTGGCAGAGCGAGAGAGATCAAGCGTTCGTTCGAGAGAGAATGCGGCAGAGTGAGAGAGAGAATGCGGCAGAGCGAGAGAGAGAATGCGGCAGAGGGAGAGAGAGAATGCGGCAGAGGGAGAGCGGCAGTGAAGGAATATATTAGAGAGCGTAGCGATAGCGAGAGAGTCTCTGCTATGGGAATGATGTTGCGCCAGCAACTTGGTAGAGTTTTGGTAGCGTTTGCCTCTAAGGACTTTGTGAGAATTGAAGTAGCATTTGGGCCAAGTAGAATTGCAATATCAACTATCAAACACACAAGCAAACACAAACACATATAGGCAAGCAAGAGTTGCACAATTGTTGCGTGGCGCTGCGAGTAACCCAACCCACACGAAAGTGCTGTGCAGGTGGGTGAACGCGCCCCGCACATTTCCAACCCAACTCGGCACCGGAATGTCTCACCGTGCACGCTACTCCTGCCAACACAACAAGTGAGCAGCGTGCCTCACAAGCAAGGCACCTACGACCCCCAAGACTCGTCATTCCTAGCACCGATTCCGCCGAGTTCGCTGCAGTAGCTCACAGTCACCCGTAGTCACTAATGACCGCCACCGAACTCGTGCGTCGGTGCCGAGTAGACTCAGTCGTTAGGCGCCGACCTGTCAAGTCAAAGGTCATCGAGGGCCCTTGCTGTCGTAGGGCCCTCTAACACTCCCCTGCCATACTACAGCAAGGCCGTTTATAATCACAGGGCATGCATACACACATACACACCAAAACAAAGGGATACACACAAACGAAACACGCTCAAAGTGTAAACACGCACCGCACCAGCCATGGATAGGCCATGGCACCATCCACATCATGGAGTGTCTAGGTCTCACTCCCCTCGCTCGAGAGCCGCACCTGCCCCACAGCCTCGAAGCAACGACTGAAGGCGGGGAAATGCAATGCCTTTGTGAGGTAGTCAGCAGGCTGCTCGCTCGTAGGGATGTACTGCAGCTGCAACTTCCTGCGCTTGACCATGTGCTGCAGCCACATGTGACGACGCTCCATGTGCTTGAGGCTCCCCTTGAGCCCCATGCAACCTGCCACTGAAATGGCGGAGGAGTTGTCCACAAAGAGAGTCGTGGGCTCCTCACTCCTCAGCAGTTGAAACTCTGCCAGCAGGAAGCGCAGCCTGCGCGCCTCCTTCCCAGCCTCCACAGCAGCAACGTACTCAGACTCAGTGGAGGAAAGGGTGGCGCAACGAATCCGCTGGCTCGCCCATGAGACAGCAGCACCCCCGAGCACGAAGACATAGCCACCTGTGCTGGTCCTGTTCTGCTTGTCCCCTGCATCATCAGCATCGGCGTAGCCCACCAGCTCCAAGGACTCCGGCCCACCACCAAACTCCAGCGCCACATCCCTGCTCCCCACCAAGTACGTCAAGCACCGGTCCAACTCCTTCCAGTACTGATCACTCCGCATAGTCTGGCCCGACCCCAGCTTGCTGCAGGCGAATGAGATGTCGGGACGGGTGGTACAGGCCGCGAACTGCAAGGATCCCACCTTCTGCCTGTACTCCTCCTCCTGGCGAGACTGCCATCCCACATCCTCGAAGGTCTGCACACTGAAAGGGTCAGAGGAAAGAGGGGTGCGAGGCACTCGCAGCGGCTGCTCCCCGTCAAAGAAGCGCCTGTGGACCTTGTCCACATAGGCCCCCTGGTGCAGCCACAGCCTCCTCGTGGGCCTGTCCCGAATCAGCTGCAACCCCAGATATTTCTCCACAGGGCTAATCTCCCGCAGCTGAAAGGCACTCTGCAGCAGGTCACGCAGCTCCGCTAGCATGCTCTGACTGCGGCTGGCAGCAAGCAGGTCATCCACATACACCAGCAGCCAGCACATCTCCCCCTCAGCATCAGTCTTGAAGTACAGAGCCTCATCCACCTTGCTCTTCTTCCATCCAGCCCCAAGCAGCACCCCATCCAAGGCCTCATACCATAGCATCGGGCTCTGCTTGAGCCCATACAGACTCTTCACCAACTTACAGACACGAGGAGTCCCATCCTCGTAGTAGCTCGGCTGCTCCATGTAAAGGTCTCGGTCCAGCACGCCATGGAGGAACGCGTTCTTCACATCGAGCTGCATCAGGTCCAAATCAAGTGCAGCTGCAATCGCCAGAAGCACACGCGCCGTCACATAGCTTCCCACAGGGGCGTACGTCTCCTCATAGTCCACCCCTGCCACCTGCGTGAACCCCTTCACCACCAGCCTCGCCTTCTCACGCTCCACTATCCCATCAGGTCGGAACTTGGTGTTCAAAATCCAGCGGTTCTTCATCACATTCACCCCTGGCGGACGTGGAACCAACTCCCACGTCCCCTGCTCAATCAAGCTCCGCATCTCCTCATCCATCGCCTCCTTCACCGTGTCTCCCTTCCAGCAGCCCAAGGCCTCCTTCACTGTCATTTTCGCTATGTCCCACTGCCTCTCAGGATCAGCTGCCACGTCCGGGTCCAGGTTAGTCCACTCCTCGTCCTCCTCCTCGTCATCCAAGCCCGCTGGCTCAACCACTACAGCCCAAGCGTATCGAACAGGCGGGACACCACGAGTGATGCGAGTGGAGCGACGCAGTGGTGCAGTGGTCGTCCCAGAAACCAACACACGACCACCATCTCTAATTCCCCACATCTCCTGCTCCCCTGTCTGCGGCTCCCCTGTCTGCTGCTCCCCAATCTGCTGCTCCCCTGTCTGCTGCTCCCCAATCTGCTGCTCCCCTGTCTGCTGCTCCCCTGTCTCCTGCCCCCCACTCTGCTGTACTCCATCCATACTGCTCTCGTCCTGCAGCTGCTCAGTCTCAAGGCGCTGCCCGTCGGTGATCTCCACAGACGGTGGCACCTCCATCCCCCCCTCACCAACGGGCGGCGCCGTGGAAGACGAAGAAGAGGGCGGAGCAGGTGCAGGAGGGATGGAGGGTGGAAGGGGAGATGGAATAACAGGAGGAGGAGGGGAAGCCAAGGGGGGTGAGGAGGAAAAAGGCGGGGCAGGGGGAATCACACGAGGGTAGACTGAAGGCGGAGGTGGGGTGGGGACCAAGGTAGGGACATAGGGCATAGCAGGAGGTGCGACCACCTCCTCCTCCTCCTCCGCCTCCTCGAGAGTGATCGGGAAGAGTGAGGGAAGGGGCTCATAGGGCATCGAACGCCCCCCATGCTCCTGCTGATGCCAAGCCTTCCATCCTGCTAGGGACATGGTCTCATAGAACACAGCTTCCACAGTGGTGATGAGGCGGTTGGACTCCAAGTCCAGCACGGTCCAGCCCTTGCTCGCAGCTGACACACCCAAGTGCAACCCCCAGCGAGCCTTAGGCGCCAGCTTCCCCCCACGCTGCGACTGTGGTACCATGTACTGCAGCATGCAGCCCCAAACACGCACCATACTGACATCAGGTTTGCGTCGGAAGGCGAGCTCGTACGGCGTCACACCAGAGGGTAGTGAGGCGTGCTCCACGCGGTTGCGCACCCAGACGGCCTGAGCCAACGCCAGGTGCCACCAGTGATGCTGCACACCCATGTGCAGCAACATCGTCCGCACCGCCTCCACAATGCTGCGCATCTCCCTCTCGGCCATCCCGTTCTGCTCCGGCGTGTACGGGCATGTGAGGTCATGGATGATGCCTTTACCGTCGAGGAAGAGCGTGAAGTCGTGCCCCAGGAACTCGCCACCCCGATCAGTGCGCAGCGCCTGCACCGTGGTCTTGCACTGTTGCTCTGCCATCGGGAGCCACTTCTGGAACGCCGCCAGCGCATCACTCTTCTGGGCCAAAGGGTAGGCCCAGACATATCGCGTCTTGCGATCCTTCAGCACCAAGAAGTAGCGGCTGCCGTCCTTAGCTGCTTCACGGAAAGGGCCACACAGGTCAGCATGCACCACCCCGAGCAACTCATCCTCCTCCTCTCCCACAGAAGGAAAGGTATGACGAGTGATCTTTCCCCCAACACAGGAGACACAAGGTATGCCTGACTTGCCCCCCTTCTCCAAATCCAAGCCCTTCACTGACCCGTGAGCCGCTGTGCGCTCGATGGCATCAATACCAACGTGTGCCATACGCGCATGCCACAGGTCCCCCTTAGACCGTACGCCCGTCGCCAAGGTACGAAGTGCCACCGTTTCGCCTTCCTGCTGCTGCGTCGAACACGGCTGGAAGTTCGTGCAGAGAACACGCCCCTTGAACTCCGCACGACCAAGGAGCGATCCATCTGGTGCCCGCAGCAAAGTCACATCCCCGGCATCCAGCAGCTGCACACCACTATCACGCAGCTGCCCAGCAGAGAGAAGACTCGCCTGCACTCCTGGTATGTACAGCACGTCCGGCACCAAGACACGCCTGCCCCCCTCCCCAAGAAGAGCGACTGTGCCTCGCCCCTGCACCTCCTGAAGGGCGCTGTTGAAGCCGGTAACCTGCTTAATGCTGCCGCCGCTGCTCATCTCCACAAAGGCAGAACGATCTCCCATGAGATGGTGGGAGCATCCGCTATCAAGCAGCACGACGCTCGGGTTCGCCTTCACAGCAGCTGCAACAGCCTGTAAGCCCTCCCCGGCCTCAGGCTCTAGCACAACGAGAGGAGTCTGCTCCACAACTGGCTTCACCATCGCACATGATGACTGCCCGCTCCCCTTAGAGCCATCACCCCCCTTTCCGCTGCTACCTCCAGAACCCTCTCCACCGATGTCTGCCTCCTTATCCGCCCGCTGCTGACAGTACTTAGCAACATGCCCTATTTGTCCACACACATAGCACTTCCCCTTGAAGCCCCCTTTCCCCCCCTTCGGCTGGCCATCCTTACCCCCTTTCCACTTCTCCCCTCCCCCACCAAGCCCACCCCCATTCTTAGGCTGCTGCTGCTGTGCCATAGTGGGAGGGGAAGGGAATGAAGTCTGCTGGAATTGGGGCTTACCCTTCTTGGTAAAGACCTGGTTAGCCTGGGGAAGGAATTGGTCCTTTCGTCCCTCTGCCGCCAGCGTACACTCCTCCTCGATGATGTAGCTAGCGAGGGTGTCCTCGTCCAACTCCTTGCGCACCTGTGGCAACTTCAGCATCCTGCGTAAGAGGTTGTACTGCTGCGGCAACCCCTTCACAACGTGAGTGATGTACGACGCCTGCGAGTAATCTACGCCGGCCATCCTCAGGTTCACTAGGATCTACTGCGCACGGTTGCAATAGGACGTAGCGGACTCGTGCTCTCCCATCTCGAGGTTAGTGAGCGCCTGCTCTAACTGACCGATGTACAGATCGTCCTTCGCCATGTACGTGCGCATAATAAACTGCCATGCCTGATAGCCGGCATCGACCTTCATGCGACACGCCTTAAGGGCGATCTGTACGGTTGGGGAGCAGCATCGGGAAATGGTGGTGAATGTCAGCAACTGCATCGCGCGGAACTGAGAGAGATGCGCAAGCGCACGCGCTGGTGGAATGGGGGTGGTGCCTGTCAGAATGTTATTATCTAGCCTGTAGTGGGGTGCTCTGTAGCGGGTACAACCCAACTAGGGTTTGCTATATGTATCCCCATTGCTGCTAGTGAACCTCCTTCTTTGCCTAAACTTTCTCTTGCCTAGCTAGGACTTTTCTAGCTGTGGCTCCTCACTATAGCTACTATTCTCACATGGAATCAGAGCGCTTACGCTCCTGGCCTGTGGGCCCACATGCTTCCGCTGCCCTACTCTGTGTCGCGCGCCCCGTGGCGCGCGACCTTCATTTTTTCATCCCGCCGCGCGCTCAGGGCGCGCGGCGGTTTTCTGCCCGCCGTGCGCCCCGAGGCGCGCGGCGGTTTCCTACCATAGAGGAGCCCGCGCGCGCCCCGCCCGTTCGTCGCGGCGCCCTGGGGAGCTCGCGCGCGCCCGGCCCGTTCGTCGCGGCGCCCTGGGGAGCCCGCGAGCGCCCCGCCCGTCCGTCGCGGCGCCCTGGGGAGCACGCGCGGCCCCCACCCTGCTCGTCGCGGCGCCCTGGGGAGCACGCGCGGCCCCCGCCCGTTCGTCGCGGCGCCCTGGGGAGCCCGCGCGCGCCCCGCCCGTCCGTCGTGGCGCCCTGGGGAGCCGCGCGCGCGCCCCCCCGGCCCGTCCGCCGCGGCGCCCTGGGGAGCCGCGCGCGCCACCCCCCTCCCCCCGTCCCGCCCGTCCGTTTTGGCGCCCTGGGGGTCGCGAGCCGTCCCCCCTCGCAGTCCCCCGCGCTCCTGCCCCTATCCCACCCGTTTTAGGGTTTGGGGGTGAGGAGTGTGGGGGTGGCGGTTGTGGGGGTGTCGATTGTGTTCGCCGTCCCCTACTCCTCCGCCTCCTTCGTCTCCCACTGCTGCAGCTGTCGCTGAGGGGGGTGGATGTGTGGGAGCCTGGGGTTTAGGGTTTAAGGGGGGTGCCGTGGGAGTGGAGCTAGGGTTTGACCAGGGGGTGTGTGTCGAGGGTGTGGGGCAGTTGGAGGAGGTTGTGTGAAGGTAGCTGTCGTGTCGCCTGCAGCGCCTGTAGTGCGTCGCCCTTGCTTCGGTAGCCAGTGAGCCTGTTGCACCAGTCGCCAGTGGGTCCGTTGCTCCTGCCGCTCGTCTATAGCCGCGGAGCCAGTCACTCCAGTAGTCTGTCGCCCTTGCTTCGGTAGCCACTGAGTCAGCCGCTCCTGTGCCCGTGCCTCTGCAGCTTCAGTCGTTGCCTCCCATCTTCTCTCCCTCCACAGTTCCTCCTCCTCCTCACTTGCCCGCTGTGACTAACTCTAGCTTTGCTTACTATTGTGAACTCCTGCTCTATGCCTGCTTGCTCATTGTACTGATTACACCCCACTTTGGCTATGGGGGTGTGTCAGAATGTTATTATCTAGCCTGTAGTGGGGTGCTCTGTAGCGGGTACAACCCAACTAGGGTTTGCTATATGTATCCCCATTGCTGCTGGTGAACCTCCTTCTTTGCCTAAACTTTCTCTTGCCTAGCTAGGACTTTTCTAGCTGTGGCTCCTCACTATAGCTACTATTCTCACAGTGCCATCTATGAATCACTTTAGCTGAGCGATCTCAAGCTGCGGCTCGATTGATTCTGTCCACGTCGACAGGTCGTGACGTCCTTCTAACGGCCTAGTGACAACGATCTTGTCTGGAGTGAATCTGAAGTAGCCATAGTTGGGGGCTATTCCCTCGTCCCTCGACATCGATCCAATCGGGGTAACGCCCGGCATAGCCTCACTATCGAACTCTTCCGCAATTCCTCCTCCAGCAACGCTCCGCCGTCCTACATTCGCATGCTCTCGTGACGCTGCTGCACGATGAACACGCTCCTGTACACCGCCGACGCTAGCCATACTAAACCGAGTTGGTCCTCGCAGGACCCCACGCGACATCAACCCATCAAACTCCTCGTCATCGCTATTTCCGCCATCGACAGCCATATCCCACGCACTAGTACCTCCCGCAACTTGCTCAACATTCTCTACACGTGGCGAAGGGTGCTCACGACGCCGACGCGAGCGCAATCCCTCCAACATTAGCTCGTATTCGATATCACTAATCTCACCACGAGAATGACGAGCCACGAGATCCTCCTCTAGGGCGCGCAAATTACCGGCCTCCACGTTCGCCTCCTCTGTACTCATCCTCTACGACGTCTCTATAAGGTACCACAAATTAAAATAAAGTGCCCCTTCCTTAAATCCCTCGTCTCGGGGTCACCTCACAAGGGTCCTCAGACGAGTGGTAATAAATTACCAAACGCCCTATCCTTGGGTCCGAGAACATAACTGGAGGGAAATCAAGAGAGGTTCAACTTAGATTAATAAGCGCCCTTCACTAACGCCGTACGCCAAGGCGAGTATACGAACGCGAATATCAACGACGACGGAAATCTATGCTATATATTAGAGAGAGCGTAGCGATAGCGAGAGAGTCTCTGCTATGGGAATGATGTTGCGCCAGCAACTTGGTAGAGTTTTGGTAGCGTTTGCCTCTAAGGACTTTGTGAGAATTGAAGTAGCATTTGGGCCAAGTAGAATTGCAATATCAACTATCAAACACACAAGCAAACACAAACATATATAGGCAAGCAAGAGTTGCACAATTGTTGCGTGGTGTAAGGATTTACAAATCCTTACTGAGGCACTCGTTAGCGAGGCCATCCCGACGGTCACGCGACGAACCTGACCTTCCTATTTCGTCGCACCGAACCACT